ACTGAGTGGCCAGATTATTATGACCATCCCATCAGTACTTCGTTGGGCCGCCTCGTGACTCCATGAGATGACTTCGTTGGGCCGCCTCGTGACTCCACGAGATGTTGAAAGGTGATGCGAGGAATCTGACACTTAGTGTGTGTGTGTGTGTATATATATATGTGTGTATATATACTGTATGTCAGATGAGCAGTCAAATTAAGTTGACTATAACAATTTGTATGGGGAATGGTTGTTTCCAGAAATATACCAACAGGAAAAAATGTTTTAACCCTTTCCTGTTTTGAAAAAAAAAAAAAAGATTCAGACAGTACTAAAAACCTGGCTGTGGCTCTAATCCTTTACCAAGCTAGCCAAAACAAAAAAAAAGGCACATTAGAATGCAATATATTCTATAATATATTAATACTATTTTCTGTTGGTGCATTTACTGAAACCAATGCAAACTATGGCAAGTTCCAATATAGTAAAAATGTTGAGACTTATTTAATAAGGAGTTTGCAAAGTGCACTAACTCACAGAAACCATTAAAATGTATCATTTACTGGACTTTTTACAGTATTTGATGGCTTTACATGGGTTACTGAACTTTGCACTCTGCCATTGCTCTTTCTACTGGCTTATTAAACAAACCTGATTGTGTTGCTACATATTCATGTTTTCAATAAGACTGTCAATTACCCACAGTGTTTTGTCTGGCTGGTATTCAGTGTGGTTTTAGCATAGTCAAGCAAGACAAAGCATTATGTCTTAGTATACAATTATTTTCTTAATATGAAACATAAAGTAAGACTGCCAGTGGATATATTAAAATAAAACCTCAAGTCTTAAAAAGCACTTCTTAACTGCAAACAAAGTCTATTAGACTCCTTACAGATGTTTTAATAGTGTAGCTTCTCCAGGTCCAATACAAATACCTATTATATTAATAAAGAGGAGGATTGTGGAAAAGCTCTTCGCACTAAAAATTAACATGTTTCCAAACACATATATATATACATACATACATACATACATACATACACTTTATTCCAATCATTGTAAATTTTACCAAAAGTGTTACGTTTTGAAAATCTTGTTCCACCTATAGCCTGTAATTATATCAGGACATGGATGCAGCCATACCTTTTCATTACATAAACTTCTTCTGCTTCCTGCTGATCCTCATATCTGATACGGTCAGTCTGATTAAGAACAATAGACTTTCTTCAGTCTCTAATGCCCAACAAGAGACCATGGGGTGGATATAACTATCCTCTCTGCCTTATACCATGCTCCTGTTTATTGCAGCCAGCATTTTGCTGTCCATTCATAAAATGCAAGGCATACTGTGTAGCCGGTGGAGCTGCGTTGAGTTATCTCTGGTTATCACAGCAGAGAGCTCTGTGACTGGAAGAGACAGGTCACATGACCAGGCTCTCCTCTTGGGTTTTTTTTCTTTTACAGGACTTATCACTGTCCTTTATATACTGTATGTGCAGTGCAGCCATTTGGCTGCTTTTAAAATTAGCCCTTCATTCTTTCTTGCGTAGGCTAGTACATGATGGTGCTCAATCTCTGATCAGGAACATGCATATTAGGTAACCTTGATCACAATAACCCTCCTCTTAGCGATCTCCCCCATAACTTACATTTAACCTCCCTGCAACCATAACACTGACCCTTTCCGTAACCCTCCCTAATATAAAGATATGCCCCTCAATAGGACTAGGATCCTCTGTGCATAAGACCAAGTCCTTCCGCCACTAAAAGGTTTCAATACTAGGATATCAGACCAGGATCCAATATTTCAAGGCGACTAGCATTTTTAAATGAAAGTTTAGCAATGTCAGCCTACATATTTTCTTATTGCAGGTTTCCTTTAAGCATAACCCTTGCAGGATTTATCCCTACCCCATACATAACAAGGATCTACTGAAAATCTAGTGACACGCCAATACATAGGATTGCATTTCTATAAACAGACATAGCTTACCTTCAGGATCAGTACTTCATTAGTGGCTTTGATCACCTCATTTCTGGCTTCGAGCTCTGTTTTCAAATTGCAGATTGTATCTTGTGCGTCTTCCAAATCTTGTTTCATCTGCTGCAGCTAGTAATAAAAAAAAAGAAAACAACAATGTCTATGAACTATCATACAGCAAACAGTCATTTAATATGGAATATGTATTGTCAGTGACAAAATGATGATGAAAAAATACAAACAATCTATGCTTTTGCTAGTTATACTTCCAATTTCTACTGAAAATGATATACGGTAGTAATATACCAATGCCAGAATATTTCTTTTAACCACTTGAGGATCGGCATGTTAACCCCCTTCATTACCAGGCCATTTTTTAAGTCTTCAGTGCTGTGACAGCTTGACTGAGAATTATTCTGTTATACAACACCCTACCCAAGTGAGTTTGATATAATCTGAGACAGAGCCTTCTTTTGTTGGCATTTAATAACCACTTTTTTACAATATAAAAAGGAAAAAATACTCTTACTTTCCATTATAAAACATAGCAAATAAAAATTCCAGGACAGTACGAAAACCCCTGAAAAGACCCCTTTTTGGAAAACATTTTTTGCCACACCTTCTAAGAAAGAAACATGCCGGTATTGAGGGGGTTAAATCATGGAGCTTGGTAATGGTGCAATAGATACATTAAATGTACAGGTCATACACCTAGCAAGGATGGTTATGAAGGAGTTAATGTACAGAAGTGCAGGATCAGGGAGGTGAAGGGGTCAATAATACAGGCCACTGCAGACACCAAATGGAGCTGACGTCTACAGGAGTGGAGAGGGGGTGAAAGGGTTACAAAGTAAAATATGCTTTTATTATTTTTTTGCTGCTACAGCCTGTTTTTACCAGAAACTAATGAAAGAATCATTCATTCATTAGTCCCTTCCTATGTAAACATTGCCATGTGATTGCGGTGATGACCAAATCACAGCGATCCGAAGACACAGAGCCAATCCAATCAGCTCTGTGCCTGTAGCTGATAATTTAACAGCAGGAGAGAACCGCTCGTGCGCACGCAGGGCATACGCACACAGGCATACTCGGGAGTACGTACATGTACATCCTCCTGGCACAACTGCTCCACCAACCAGCCATTTATGTTCAGTGGCCGGTAGGAAAGCAGTTAATAGGACAAAAGCAACGTTGTCAATATTTAACCTACAAGTTTGACATCACATTTCAGTCACCAACACATGCTGACAATCATTTTGGCCCTCTTGTAAATCACAAGCGCCATCAGGATTATGCTAATCAGCTTTCCTTTGAAAAGGCAATAACTATGACACTAAACTGCAATGTGATATTTGAAAGCCAATCAGGATCAGGAAATACTTGTTATGCCAGGATTCCACACAGCATAGTACATAGTGCGTCTCAAGGCCAGCAAACACTTTCATTAAACACTCCTGAATGTTTACACACTGCAAGGAAATTACTTCATATTGAGGTTTAACCCAGATTCCCAATCAGGCAACACAGAACATACAACAGATTTTTGCAACAAAGATTTAGTTATAAGCAAACAGTTGAAATATTTTTCTTAAAAAAAGGGAAATTATAGTGCATTTGACTCGTGTCACATTTTTACAAGCTTACTCTTCCATCATTTTTGTATTGTACTAAATAAAGCTATGTCACTAGAGGGAGCAAGCTCATTAGTCCAGGACAGGTGCTCTGTCTCCATCAACTAAATCATATCGGACCCTGTCACCAACTTCTCATCAAAGTCACCAAAGTTTTCTCGGTATATAGACACGGCGTGTGACAGCTGCATCTAAATATGGAGAAGAGTATATTTTATTTACCCATTACATCTCCTTTGAGCAAGCTTTTAACAGGTTTTAATACAGTCTATAGCTTGCTGAAATCTACATGTATAAAGTCACATATTTGTATTCAACACTTCCACATTAGAGCTGAAAGGTTCCATTTAGGGGAAGTTAACATGTTTGCTTTAAATCACAAGAAGCATATACTTACTTTTTTTTGCTTCCCCACATTCAGCACTGGGAGTTAAAGGAACTATCAGTTCTTCTGGGTATGGATAATTATGTGACTCGCTCCAAGTGAAAGTGCTGTGCTTATAGAACTGTTTCATAGCCCTGTGTAGGATCTGGCAAGTTTTGGCTTACACAGGGCTTTCCTTTTGCTCCTAGCTGAATGTAGTGTCTGGGGAGAGAAAGGAAGGCAAGTATATGCCTCATTCCCGACAGCTCCATGTCAGCACACAATGGGGCAGAGCCTACACCCATCATGTGCTGCCATGGAGCTGTCAGGAAAGGAAAATTGCGGTAAGTATGGTAATACAATTTTCCTGTTGTGTAGGCCTGCATCAAAAATAATCTATTGCTTTGCCCTTCAAGGGCATACCACAGATTCACGTTAAAGTCTTCCAGAAAGCTGCTTGAAGCTCGTTAAGTTGATTCTCTTATCTTTAGGATCTACAAGCTAACCCTGTTTATTTTAGAGGTATGCAGTCCATCCAGTCAACATTTATACTGCTATCTTTTGATAAATGTTGGAGAGCTGAAACCGCCTCTACTTGTTTCCATTCTGAGAGCAATTTCAGAGGTGACATTTCCCCCAATGGAGTTGTCAATTCACTTTCTCCACCTTGGAGTTACACCTTTCCTGCTTCTGCAGTGGAATTCTCACTACCCCTAATATTACAAGAGATATCCATCAAGTGCAGTTGTACCATTACAGTAGCTGACAGGGGAACTCTAAAACAAAGATCTCACTTTACAAGTACCTAATAGGTTAAAAATTGTGCTTGCTGATTCAACTTGTCAGCATCAACAGAAAAATGAGGAATCCTTCATTGTTGGGCTGACCTCAACAATAAGTCTGCCCACAACACTGCTTAGAATGCATCAGTTTGGTGGAAAAGGTGCAAGTATTGACAGTGACATGAGGCTATGAACTTTATAAAGCAAGGCACAAACTCTATGCCATCATAAAAACCTTCATGCTTAGTGTCAGGCAGCTCGTCTTTGTGCCATCACCCTTTCCTTGAAGATTCTATGATCATTTGTTATAGGATATGACTTTTCTTGTAGACATTGACAAACACAACGGCAAGGTGACACTTTTACATTTGGGAGCTAAACGGGCATGTAGACACCTTGTCTACCGCATCCAGGAAGGACATACACTGCTGAGTGGTCCCCTGCTGGGGAAGAACAACAAATCAACATTTGCTTCAAGTGACACTCTACAGCTAACAAGTTTATGTCAATTGTTAATTAACTTGTAGGAACTATATTCAGTAGAAAAACTACATTAATTATGACAAGAAGCCAGAAAATATTATATTTTTCGGCTGTACCATGACATATGCCCCCAGCAATTGTCAACAAGTCCAATTGTTTTTCTGTAAAGCTTGAATGTATGGCTAAGGTTAAAAGATACCTGTGGGTGTATGTCTGGGCAATATACACAAAGAAAACAAATATGTAGGACATTTTCCCATGTTTTTGAATACCAAGCAATGTGGAGTTCTCCTCTGCTGGACTGCAGAGCTATGTGGTGACGTCACCACTTCCCCACTTCCATAGCAAAAGGAGGAAGTGTTCTGTAGTCCAGCAGAGGAAAACTCAGCCAGGAACACTGCTTGGGATTTCATTGCAGTAGAGGTGGAGTTGTCAGGAAGTTAGGAACTCACTGAATTTCTGGCAGGAACAGTATGTATTTTTCTGTGCTTGCAGCAAGGGACAAATCTTGCGAAAATGTGCATTAATTGCAGAGATGTACTGTGTATGTTTTTTTATCCAAATATAGACTTTACAACACAACTCCAGTCAAAAAAATAAAACAAAATGCTGAGACAGCACGTCTCACCACAACCCTCTACCAGAGCATTATAATACAAATGGAATTTCAACTCCAAATGTAAAGTTATTACTGTGTCATTCCGCCATCATAGCCAGTTGTTATCAATGTATATACCGCATGTACTCATTGCTGTAGCTGCACTGTACTGAATTGCTAAAACAAACACAATAAAAAAAATTGCCAATTAAAAGGTTGAAGATCATTTTGCCGCAGTGTTTTCCTTTAATCCAGAGCTGTCCTTTGCAGTACTTTTCCGCCACTAGATGCCCCCAGCCAGCAACTTTCAACCTACTTCCTCAGCTTGGGCTGTCTCTGATCCACCCCCCAGCCTGTGACTGGACAGTGAAGGAGAAGCAGCACAGTGATTAGCTCATCTCTCCGTCACTCTGCTTTCTTTTCCTATCAGAATACTACTTGTCAGAACATAAACTCATTAACTCCTTGTACTGCTTTTTCCTCTGCCGGTCTGAGCTCTGCTATACAGTGAGTGCAAGCGACTGATACCAAGTTAAATTCAAGTGCTTCTACTGCATCCAATACATTTAATGTTGCAATAGTCAATACATAGCTGCATTCAGTTGTGTCTTTTAGATTTGACTTTCTGCTTTAACTTTCAGCCTGGTTTGTTGTGGATAATCTCACCAAGGATCCAAGACACCATGCCTGATCTAGTTAGGCCAGCAACATGTGTGACCAAATTAAGCCTTAATCCTCTTGTGTGCCACTTAGGGTAAGCGGCAGGATTGGCCTGTGTGAGGGCAGACGACGAATTACTGAATATTAAGTTACTAGCATTCATTTTACTCACTTTACAGCTTTAGAGGAAAACTATAAAACTATAATTAGGTATTTAGATTTAAATGCAACTGCAGTTGGCATAGTGTAAACGAATACGTATTAAAGCCTTACTCCAGACAGAGTAAGAAAGAGCTAAAATTTATCATGTTGTTATCCTGTCTATGATTCATTGGGGGGGATTTTCCATCACTTACTGTCTTTGAGACATTCATACAAAATGGGAGGAGCAGCTGTCACCAGGAAAATATGGCACATACAGCAATAAAAGCCATTGTCAGACATTTTAACCCTTCTCTACTCTACTTTCGTTTTTTTGTGTCCCCCTATTGAAGTAGATTTGCAGTAATTTCCTCTCCTGACAGGAAGTGAGAGAAAATATCCTCAACAGGGATACATGTACATTGAAGATGCTATAGTTGCCCTTTTTAGTCTACTGGATTGCTGCGTAAATTGTCAGCGCTATATAAATACCTGTAATAAATAAAAAGGTAAAGTGGGAAAAGATCATGAACACACAAAGCTAGCCTACATTCTCTCAAGTACTAGGACCTTAAGCTTTCCCAAGATCCCTCGGTGAGTACCGTCACCAGCGCCCAAGCGAGGGCACTGGAAGCCTTGGTCGTAAGGGTGTATCTCTCATTTGTTTTTTTGATTTCAATTTAATGCACTGTCTGATTTAAGGGGTCTCCGACAAGCTCATTTCACTTCATAGAGACATTTGGTTTGAATCAGATGAGACACGGCACATAGACTTGCAAAAGGAGAGATAAGCAGTGCTATCGAGCAGGAGCCAAAACCAGAAAATATGACCACCCCCTAGATACATACCTATACAGTAAACTTATGAGCTACACATAGAAACAAGATTGTCAGACTAATAACATTCTCTAACAGGATTTTGTTTTTTACATTTAACTGATCCAGTTCTAATATATGCCTAAACGTAGAATATCGTTCCCCTTTAAGGCTAAATAACAGTCAAAGAAAGTATAACACTGAACACCATTACATACATATACTATACTGATGAAACAAATAAAAGAAACCTACTACACCCAGAAATGGAAACAGCAGAATACATGTGATGATGCTGCTTTAAAAGCAACAGTCAAAAGTAGCTGCGGAGACCTCTTGCTGGGTCAGACTGCTACCTTTTCTCTGGAAAGGCGATCAATTCCGTCCAGCTTATGTACAAGCCTGTCTGATTCTTTATTAGCCTCAGCCAGCTGCTGTCGGGTTTCCATGAGCTCCCGGTGAGTTAATTGCATCCGTTCTCGGGCCAGCCGTACTTGCTGGTTTAGCTCCTTCTCCTCTTGCTGTTGTTCGCAGATGCAGCTCTGCTGTGACTTAAGTGTCTAAAAAAAGCAAACAAAATGGAGTCATTTATTTCCAAAATAAACTATAGGGATGCCCCGATACAGGTTTTCCTGTATCGAGTACGAGTACCGATATTTATCTTTCGATGCTTCTGCTAGCATGGAGCCGGCTTTATGGGCAATCAGGAAGTTGGGCGGCGGGTCATTACCTACCGCCTGGCTTCCTGATTGACCGGGAAGCCGGCTCCATGGAGTTTGGCTGGCATAATGCGGATTGGCCGGGAAGCCAGCTTCCTGGCCAATCAGCATCAAGCTGGCCCAACAGCATGGAGCTGGCTTCCCGGCCAATCAAGAAGCCGGGCGGCGAATCATTCCATGTTCCTTCGCGGCACTGCCGGTCAGAGGAAATCTCCCTCTGACCAGAAGTTCCGGTATCGGGTGTAAGTATCGTAAGTATCGGAGCATTTGGGCGAGTACGAGTACTCGCCCAAATACTTGGTATCGGTGCATCCCTAATTAACTACAACATTATAAATAGTTGTTGTGCCAAAACCAAGAACCACTAAATCTGCTTTTATTTCAAAGCTAAGCAAAAATACTGATAGTAAGAATCCCTCTCCAGCTTTGGCCTTGTTTCAGTTATGCGGCCTTCTTATTTTTATAGTGCGATCCTCATAGAGCTCTATGGCCACATAGTTCTAAGACATCACAATATATACAATCATATGAAAACGCAAGTGCACCCCATGGAGTTTGCTGACTTTTTTCCACATATTTGAACAAGCAAACTTTGGATCTTCATTCAAACCTGTCACCATGTTTACCTGTTCAAATATGTTAAAAAAAGTTAACATATTTACTTCCATAATTACTTACTTTTTCACACGACTAAAAATTTCCCACATCATCAAAACCAAGCGAAAGCAATTTGTGTAAATACAAGGAAAGGAAGGAAAAAGCTGCACACTAGATTAGTTACTGCTGTAACGTTTTTGATCCACACCCCAAAGACCATATACCTGAAGCTTCTCCTTTGGTGTGTTCTGCTCAACAACTGATCCTTCATGGGGTACTGTTTTTTTAGGATAGAAGTGCCTATACCCTATTCAGTTATGCATTTTCCAGCATGTTTAAAAAAAAAAATCTGTCTGATTCTATAGAATCTTTGTACACTTTTTATCACTGGCTTTTTTTTTTTTTTTAAAGCAGAACTGCACCCAAAAACAGAGAGAAAATTAGCTAATCATGAATCATTGGTTCCTTCTTCTGTTCATCTCACAATGCATCTCTGTTATACAGTGACAGGGCTGCCATCAGGGGGGGTACGGCTGATACTCATGTAAGGGGCCCGGGCAGCCTGGGGGGCCCGCTCAGGACCCTTACATGAGAATCAGCCGACGGTGACAGCGGGAGTGCAAAAAGTGAAAATCAGGGAAAATTCAGGAACGTCCAATACATTTAATGATGTATAAATGATTACAGAGCTGCATTAATTTGTCTCTGCATGACTACCGAAATGTCAGTCGTGTACAGCCAGCGTTAGCCTTTCTACTAAAATGATATTATTGGGGTGCAAAACTAATAAACATCACTTACCTGTTCCATTTCAGTTATTGCTAGCTGCTTTTTCTCAGATTCTTTATGTAGCTGATTTACAAACTGATCTTTCTGAAGCAGGTCAAAGTCTTTTTCTCGAAGTTGCTCCCTCATTTCCTGGAGTTTTTCTTGCAGGGATGAAATCTGGGAAAGATCATGGATACATGGAACAACTGGTTTTCTGTGAATGCTGTGCGTCCTATTCTAAATGGCTGACTTTATGTATGCATGTGTGGTTAGGGTAAAGTGATCCCAGCAGAAAACACGTATGTTCGGGAGTATCCTGCAGAGAAAGACCATTGTGCTCCATGTCAGAGCAGCACTCACTCTAAAGTGGTCTGACACCCCCTCACGGAGTCAGAGCTACAGATCGCCAATAGCAAAATTCACTGCTGATTGCAGTGCTGCAAGCAAAAATTGGGCCTCAAGGTGAAAGTAGGTGTAGTGTAGAAACTGCTAACCTGTGACATGTGACCTTTTGTTTCCTGTTCAGATTTCATTAGTGCAGTTTCCAGTTTAATAATTTTCTGTTCCAGTTCTTCTTTGTGTTGCCGAATGGTGGAGTCCAGTTGGGTTAGCTACAGCAAATGAGAAATGTAACAAAGTGAGATTCCTAAATAACATTATATCTATAGGTTAGCCCCCCCCCCCAGAAAGCAGCTAGGCTCACTACTGACATGTAAGGGGAGGCTTACTGTGATCCCTACAAGTACAAGAGTAGTAAGGGCCACTGAAATCCTACATATGTGTACTGTCCTCCAGATGTCCACTGGTTGCAGACAGAATGGATTGCAGAAGGAATCTGGCGGAGGATTCAGGTAACGATGTGTAAGTGACGTTCAGTACAGCAGTACTGAACCTCAGTGGTGATTCTTCAGGGGGGTAGGCTGTGGGCAATTGATTTTTTTTTTCGATCAAGTAGAATTGGGCTTTAAAGATCATTCTGCTTCTGTGGACACCCAACTGATGTAATAGGGGGTAATCACTCCCCTCTTGCAATTTCCCATTACTAAGAAGAGTTTACTGTAGTGGTGGGCAACTCCAAATCCCAACACGCCTCTGGGAGTCATGCTTGTAATGGTCAGTCTTGCAATGCCTCATGGGACTTATAACAACACAACAGCCGGAGGGCCAGAGTTACCCACCCCTCGTTTACTGTCACTTTTCAGGTAAAAAGAGTACCGGTAATGAGAAAGTGTAAAGGCTACTACTGTTGAGCACTCCTCAGAATGCTATCTGTCTTGCTTTCATGCTGAAAAAATGGTTTTCCTAGAATGGGTTTCTCTCAGTTTGGGTTTTCCTTAAAGCCCAATCTGTTATGTCTATACACACAGATTTGCCACTCCCTGTTTTTCCAACTAAACGCCGGGCCATTCTGATACGCAAAGTGTCTGTGCCTTCTCATAGTGTCGAATCTTGCTGCCCCTAGCTATCTCCTGCTCACTTCTTCTGGGCAGTGAGTTAGCCAATCAGAGTAGCGAGCAAATAGGAATTTGTGTGAGCAGGACTTGGCTGCAAGCTCCAACACTACCTGCAAGTGTCAGAGCTTTGCTTGTCAGAAAGGAAGAGGATTTAGGATTCTTAAAGAGTTGTTTAATGGAAGAGTGGAAACTGGGCTATCATTTTAGAAACAGTTGGAGCTGGACAAAATCTGAGAAGGGTCCCTTTTAACAAATCCCTTTTAACAAATATCAACTGCCAATTTTATAGAGTTTTTACTACTTAAGAATATGTTTGTGCTCTGTCCTAGTTGTTGGTCATTTGTATCGTCTCTTGCTCTTTTCTTTGCGAAGAGTTAGGCCTCATGCACTTGGCTGCACAATGCCGTACACTGCCAGGGCGGCGCGGATTTCTGCACCCGGGAGTCACAGGTGTTTGTGTTCAGCCACGGCCAGCAGCCGGTACAACTCAATTACAGGTTGAGACACACCACTCTCTACATTTCTGAGCTGTTGCATGTGTACAGGGACAGATGAGCGGCCATGGACACAAACAATTTGCGCGGCTGGACGCAAACACCTGGGCGCAGAAATACGCACCTTCTCGACAGCGTACAGTCCTCTGCAGCCAGTTTAAGGAGACCTTAAAGCCCAGCTGAACAGCTAAAAAATTGCAATCAGCTAAATAAATTTAAAGAACGCCAGGATTTTTTTGTATTAACCTTTGCAGTGGGGCTACCCCCACACTGCAAGGGTTAAGTGCTCGTTTGTGTCTAGGTAAAAAAAAAAGTTATACTCATTTGAAGCTCTGAGCCGGCTTCTTGTTACACTGGTCCTTCCAACCTCTCTCCCCCTCCTCTGCAACGGTCTAAGGTCCTGTAACTCATCATGTCTGGAGGGAGCAAGCATCTTCTTTAGGGTGCATCAAAACAATATATGTTTAAAGTCTTGCAGTTCATTTTCATTAGAAAGCTGCCGGAGTAGAAAAGCCAACCAGCATGCTGCAGAGAGGTACCCTTGTTATCTGTGGGGAAGTAGTGGTCTGTCTCGAGAGACTGAGCTTTGCTGAATGCAGAATTATGGGTCTGACTCAGCAGAGAGTGTGTTGGACCTCTGCAGAGAGACCACTACTTTCACACAGAGAACAAATGTCCTGATGTGCCGTTGCTGGCAGGGGACAGGATTTTCTACTCAGTCTGTAGCCGCTTTAGAAACAAAAACTGGAAGACATTGAGCACCTTTTGTTTTGACACACCTGAAATGTATTTAGCGGGTTTAAACTGAAAGTTTATTTGGGCTTTAGAATACTGGACTATATTAGTGCAGAGTAACAGATTAGTGTCAGTTCACACAGTGTTAAAAGATGGCAGACTTACCTGGGCTGCCCTCTGCTTCAGCTCCCAGTTCCTGTCTTTCAGGGCCTGGTCCATATCCAGAAACTCATGGTCTCTCTCATCCAATTCATTCTTACATGTCCTTCATTTTATATTACAAAACATAATGTTAACGCATATGGAAGGTTTTCAACCATTAAAAAGTCTCTTTAATGCAGATTTTTCTTTTATTGTGTCTGTAAGTCATGGCACAATAATGTCATTATCTTTAGCTTTCTGCATTGTTCCCTTCTAAAAGCATTATTCTGTTATTCTTTGAAAAATAGACAAGGGATGTTGTACTGTAACAGACACTGAAGTGTCCTTGAGAACAAACTCTAGAGTGAATCTGCACTCTTTTTAAACTTTTAAAAGTAAACATCTAATAGCAAAAACTGCAAGATGCCTCATATTGCCTTTATAAGGGCCTATGTCAATGAACTATGGAACCTGTCAATGGCATCAGTTTGACATGCTTTTGAGGTCATTCAGAATACATTGAAATTTGCATTTGACCTGCAGTTGACTTACTCCTGACCTGTATTTTACCTGCTTCAAGCTGGTTTTGCATTCCCATAGTCCTATATGAGAATGCAAAACCCATTTGAAGCAAAATAAATCATGGCATAGGCCCTTAATGAGATAAAAATGTTTGCGCACCTGCCTGATATAGTTGTGCTTTGTTACTGGGCCCTGACTTCATGGCTCGGCTCCAACAAATGCCATTCCCCTGTCCAAAGATTTATCTCTTTCCTTTCATTTGAGAAGGTATTATGCTTTGCCCGTTTAGGAGCTATGCAGCGTTAATGTTGCACTGCTAATTAGCTTCTTGGCTCATTGATTGCCTAATGTACCCGTCTTGTCGGGGTTATGGGGTATCAGCCCTGCGTGGTTACTCCCCTTTCTCAGCAATGGGTGCTTTGATGTGGGTATTTGCCCTATACTCTGTGGGTATCGTCATTCCAGTGATATATTCCAGTTACTTTCTATTTTGTCTGATGATGTATCTCACTTGTTGCTGAGGCAGTCTGAACAGACAGTGGAATGGCAGTTGGCAGCTGTGAAGCCAGGTCACAGGAATAAAATGAAAATATATTAGGAGATTATAAAAAGAGGCTTTTTTGGGGGTAATAAAGATAATAGCAGCCATATTCTGCCCTTGGAATGGACTTAGATTTTTAAATTTTAAAGACAAACAAATTCATTTTTAATGCATTTTGAGCCCAAAAGCAGTAACGTTCTTTTTAATAGTAAGAATAATACAAAAAGAAAACACTGTTGTCTATAACCTGAAGCGGGGTGATGTGGCATCAGCAACTGTTAATAAACAATCTACTTTTCTGATACATTTGAATTGCCTATAGCAACTAGATTCCGGTTGCCACCATACTCCAATGCAGACAGGTACATGAAAGAATCTGTTCCTATGTTTCACAGACTTTTCTGGTCGGACATTTAGAGTGTTTCTATAGTTCTGGTTTCTATAACAAAAATACATTTTCCACTGGGCAAAATTAATCTTAAAAGGAGAACTATGGGGTTAAGGCTTTTCCCCATAGTTCTCCTTAGGGTAACGGGAGGACACAAACTAGCGTCGTCCTCCCGTCACCCTAAGCGACGACGCAGTATACCGCGAGCTACAGCTTGCGGTATACTGAGACACCGCAGCTGAAGCGCATCCCGACAATTATGTCTGGATCCGGCCAGCCGTGTGAGTGACAGCTGGCTCTGCCTATTTAGACAGCCTCTCCTTTTTACTCAGAGAGACTTAATGTCTTTATGGCTAACTATTATATTCTGCATCAATGTGAATAGAACTTTAACAGTCAAAACATGATGGCAGGACTGGTCCACAGCTCATGGGTCTTTGCTTCTGTCTGCCTCAAAGATAAAATCCTTTTGTGTTTAATATTAGGAGATTTTCTGCAGAAAATATGATTCTTGATCACTTTCTAAAATAGGATAGAAGAATCATTGGACCACTAGAAATAGGCAAGATGACCTTTCTACAGATAACACCCCAAATAAATAATAATTTCAGTGTTCGCTTACCTTAAGTCCTCTGTAAGGGCTTGTATTATGACGTCTTTTTCTTCCACTAATAAGTGGGTCTTTGTGAGTGCCTCTTGAAGCTCTTCAACATGTTCGAGATTGTCCTGCAACTGCTTCTTCACATGCTGAAGCTCCATTTCCATGTCTTCTTTGCTCTTGAGATCCATCTCAGCTCTAGTTACTCTTTCTTGTAACAAAGCAACTAAAACAAGAAAGGATTTTAATGATGTCCCAAATATCAGAAGAATAACTGATAGATTGATTAATAACTGTTTACTGCAAAGTACTATCTGAATGGATAATTAAAATTAATTTTGGAGGTGTCCACATGCTGTTAACAATATACTGTAAATTGAACTACTCAGGTAGGTTCCTGCCTTAAACGTGTTTTGTTAAACCTAAAGGGCATTGTACAATGAGATTCTAATGTCCATTACCACCATAATAATTACATGGCACGGTAAGAAAATGTATTACACAGCCTGAACCGGAATTTAAAATGGACTGAACTAGTTTGCATAAATAAAATATATTCCTAACATGTCAAATGTATACCATAATAGCATTTTAAGCACCACCTTTTATCATTAAAGCCTTAAGCAGCCAGACATTTTCTGAGTCCCTTCTCCCCCGTATTCTGACTGCAACATTGAAAATTTGTAGCAAGCAACAAGGAGAGAGGCTGCAGCAGGTCTGAACACAGCTAAGTGATTATTGTAACTGCACAGGCTTCAGCATTTAAATGGATGCGTCATCTCGAAACTAGCATCTCAGTCTAGGAAGTATTGCTAATCCTGAATGATGCCCTAACAAGGATGTTACTTCCCCTAAATGCCTGTAAATGTTACACAACACATTACTTCGCATGCATATACTTCCTATAAAACAAGTCTATTTTAATAGGATTGAAATCTTTGAATAGTAAAAAAATGTATACATGTTACAATAATCACTGGCCTTTAAATACAGCAATCACTCTAATCTCTTACCAAGCTGTGCTTTGTCAGTAAGTTCAGTCTCTGTTTTCTGTAAAATCAAATCCATCTGATTCAGTCTGTTGTTCTTAGACTCCCCATCAGCAGTGACTGACAACAGCTGCTCTTCAGTGTGCTTCAACTTGTCTTTGCAATTGTCCAGTTCACGCTTTACCTGCCTACAATACAAGAGAAATGATTGTATATTATACATTCTAACAACACTGTGTAATAATAAAATTGCCCTGCAATATACAGAGCCCATTTGGGAGCCCTGGTACCATTTAACACAGGAATTATGTACAAAGGTAAGGACCAGCTGATGGAGGCAACCTGTGACCACCTGGAGCAGGTGGTATATAATGGCCATTTCCTGATAAAGATGGTGCATTGCTTGCTTAGCAGATTATTGTGTACATGTATTCTAACAGGATTCCTACTACACTCAAGAAGCACCAAACTATCGATATATCTACCCCACTCGGTGGCAAAAACTGTTTGCCATCAGTGATACTATGGTCGAAATTAACAATACCATCTACGCAGGATTCTCTCGTATTCTCAAAATGCAGATGCAAAAAAAAGTATTGTGACAGTACAATTACGATGACAGCCAGTGGTTGGTACTAATAACATAAAGCCAATTTTAGAAAACGCATGTCACTCAAGGAGAGCAGTCAGTCGAGGCCCACTAGTCTGACCAATACAGTCGTCACTGAGGGCACCAATGTCTTCTTGTACTAGTCGCAGGAAGACCAACAAGCAAGAACTAAGAGCTCTCAAGAATGGCTGCTGAAGATTTATTTTATTTGGCAACAACAGATCATTTTCTTAAACTTCTCTTATTTGTTTTCTTTTGATTTGATAAATGTAGACATGAGGGAAGCAAATTGTTTTCAAATGGCTTATTAAAAGGCATTTGTATTAGATGGCAGGGGGGCCGGCAAAAAAGCAGACCTTCTGTTTACCATGGAAGGTTCACTTTAAAGTGGCAAAAGATTATATTGGGTGTGTTTTCACATAGTTCATAGATTTACTTTAAGCGACTTGTTACCTCTGCCTCCTCTTTAAGAAGTAAGGTAATGTGTACTCCAAATGTTGAGGACAGAGCAGAATTGTTTTCCTGTTAAAGTTGTGACGGGTACCCAAAATCTGGAAATTCGACTGACCATTTCCAATCAAACATTTGGCCTAGTGTAACTTTTTTCGTCAAACATTCTTAGGCCTCATTCACACGAGAAACGGCCGGCATATACAGCTCCGTGCACGGCCGTATCGGACAGCTCCCGGGAAGGACAGATGCTGCGTGTAATTATTATGCAGCCCTTGTCTTTCTCTATGGGACTACAGGGCCGTACGCTGCCCTATGCGTCAGTGCGGGTGTCTGTACTCGTACGCTGACAGGATGGATCCTGTCTGCGTCCGAGCCTGGACATCCGCACCCGTACGGACCTGCACTAGGGTCAGCGTATGGCCGCGTAGTTCCATAGAGAAAGACAGGGGCTGCGTACTAACAACACTAAGCACCTGTCCTTCCCGGGAGTTGCCGATACGGCCGTGCACGCTGCACGGAGTTGTACGCGCCGGCCGTTTCTCGTGTGAAGGAGGCCTAAGGAAGATCCACATGTCCTTGTGACACTGAGATAAAAATTAAGTTAGTGTTTAAATGGTATGCTGGATTTGAAGCACTGTGGTATGCATTCATACAAGTCTAAGAGGTTTATGCTGGAATATTTATATCATTCTGTGATGTTTTTGATTGTCCTTCATATTAAACTGAGAACCAGCTCATGTTTTGGTTCTTGGCATTAGATTTTAAAGAATAACTCTAACTAATACATGGCCACATATCAAAATTACCTATTTCTGCAGCAAATAATGTATACATATGTAAACTGAAACACATTACAGTAAATATACATGTTTAAAAAATGTTTGTGATGTTTTCTTACTCCATGTTTTTGCTCAACTGATGAACATGATGGGTTTTCAGTACTATTTCTTTATTGGCTGCTTGCAGTTTCTCTACTGCGGTTTTCATTTCTCCATGGTACGATGATCTCTGCTTCTCCAGTTCAAATCCCAACTTGGAAATCTACATTAAAAGTGAAATGATCATATATAGTAGAGAAACAGATTCTAAAAACTTGATGTCCTGATTATTTCAAACAATAATAAGATTTTTGTACTCATTTTAAAATCCTTTCCTTGGAGTCCTTTGAGGAGCACAGAAAACAGAAAAACTGTAGACCAGCGCAGGAAAACCCCTCCCATTACCAGAATGCCTCAGTTGTCTAGCAAAGCAATACCAAGAGCATGTTCATTAACACAGAGGGGTGTGACCTAGGTCCTAGGCCTAGACCTAGTCCTTCAATGGACTCCAAAAAATGATTTTTTTTTTGGCAAGTAAAACAATTCTATTTTCTTTCTTGGCCATTGAGGGACACAGGAAGTCTTTAACCTGTGGGATGTACAAAACCAAGTGAAAACTTCAGACAAGAGGGGAGAGGGCCCAGCCACACTCATCAAAGCCAGATGGGACTCTGTGGACGGAACAGACTATAAGAGCAGAGGATAACATGATTCTAGGCTGCAGGCACCGGCAGTAGAAGCACTGCTAACAGACACCCAATCTTTAGTAGAATGTGAGCTAGGGGCAACCCAGTAAAGCAGGACTGTCCTCCCCATGTCTAGAATCAGACTTGTTGTAACTGGACGATGGTAAGGCAGCATATAGGCTTAGGGTAAGAGGCAAGGCTTTAGATACTCATGAAACCCGGACAGCTGACATGCACCTGCTACCAGCTGGGTATCAAGGTTTCTGTAGGCGGGCCGGAGGAACCAATCAGAGATCGAAACTCTATGTGGGTCTTTGCAAGCAGAAGTGACATTTCTCCCAGCGGATGACTTCAGCGCTCAGTGATACACTGGAAAACCTTACAACTATGCTGTATAGAGGACTACATATCCCAGCAATAATGCATTATACAGCGCAATGCAGAATACCACCAGCTATAGAGGAGTACAACAAATCCCAGGAATGCATTATACAGTAGTGCAATGCCGAATATCACTAGCTATAGAGGACTACAAAACCCAGGATTAGTACATTAGACAGCGCAATGCAGAATACCACTAGCTATAATGTACTATTGCTGGGATTTGTTGTATGCCTCTATAGCTGGTGGTATTCTTCATTGTGCTGTATAATGTATTGCTGGGTTTTGTAGTCATCTATAGCCGGTGCCATTCTGCATTCATTGCTGTATAACTTTACACTTTTCATTTCACTATATTGCACACCACACTTTTGTTTTCTTTTTTACGTCCACTGCTCCAAGCTTGCTCCTGTGATGGACTACACTCAATACAAACTAGTAGTCCATCACTGGAGCCATTTTTTAAAATGTATTTTATTTTTTATCTGATTAATCGAACTTAATAATCGGCTAACTAATCGATTTTGAAATAAATCGTTAGCTGCAGCTCTATTATAAATAATTACCTAATTCTTTTTTTTAATATTAATCACAGTGTATTTACATGTCTGACACCTTTTGATTTACATAAAATGTACAAGTATTGGAATGAAACAAGGAAAGTGATTTGGTGAGAGTAACTTAGTGAGATATGCACCTGTTGCTCTAGCTGTGCCTGGGTGTCCTCAAGGTCTCCGATTCGAGCAGTTTCCTGCTGTAGCATCTGCTGCTGCTGTTGAAGTGTCTGCTGCAACCGTACATTTTCTTCACTGGTTTCTTGAAGACTTTGGGTCTTTAACTTCATTTCCTTTCTCAAACACTGAACCTTGTAGAACATCCAGGAATAAAGATATTTAATGACAGTACATTGTATACAAGTGCCTGACCATTCACAAGTTCAATACAAAAGGACCGTTAATGGCAAATGTTTGTAAACTACCTCATTTGGGGCCACGTCACACTAGCAATCCTGACGCTGGCAACAACTCACCAGCAATGGGTTCGCTACCCAAAACAGTAAATTGTCATCTGGTCCCATGTGTTGCTCAGCAGCATTTCAGTCAACTACGTGGAGAGTATTTGCTCTACACGGCAATCCTGTGGCTGGTCAGTTGCCTCCTGCGACAGAATCGCTAATGTGACATCGCCCTTGTTGAGTCAAGTTTAACTTACCCCTTAATTTAGCCACACTTTGCAGTCTGATGGTAAATTTAAAAGATAATGTACAAACAGCTACGTAGTGCAAGGACCACATACATATATACATCTAAAGGAAACTGGGCATAGACTGTACAAACAGAGGGTAAGACTTGACCAAATTTTACAGTTATAACATTTGGACAATGGCCGTTTTCTTCTGGAAATCCATACCACAGTCTGGAAAACTAGAATGGTTTTTGGTCAGTTTTAGTTTACATTTTCTTTGAGTTTACATGATTAGAAATAGCTGTTTTATTTTTCTAAAATAGATTAAAAAAAACATTAGATTCCTTTGCCATCTCTGTAAAATGACAACTGTTTGTTCAAACAATTCTACTGTTATCTGCATATCCAATGACTGACCATGTCCATACCATAGGGAAAGTGATAGTTCACAAAAATAAATACCAAAGGGTCTTGTCAATAAAACATGTTTGTAAGAAAAAACGTTTTCTAGTTGCCCATAGCAACCTTTTCCAAGATATAATTTTTATAGTCCTGGTCTGACTGTATCCAGGAATCTGATGGTTTGCAATGGGAAAAAAGAAAATGTTTCCTTTATCACATGACAATAATAGTATATTTAAAGCTAAACTCCAGACAGATATAAAAATATAAAAACACACACACACACAATTTAGTGTAGTTGTGAATATGTTAAAACAACAACAACAAAACCTAAAATGTATTTTTACATCCAGTTAGTATAAGCTGACTGAATCTCAATATTGTCCTCCAACCAGTCCTTTTTACAAAGCGTTCTTACTATGAAAAGGAGGGGAAATACTAGGAGCCAGTAAAGCTCTGTTGCACACACTTATGCTTACAGGGAACATACAGACAGGAGAAGAGCACAGAGTGAGCGGAGTTAAAGGGGAAGTATTGGGAGACTGAAATGAACTCTTTCCAACGCTCAGAGTTATTGTGTTACACTGCAGCTGTCACAGGCTGGCTCTATAGATCGAGAGCTGAGCAATCACAAACTGCTGATAAGCCCATGGTCTTCTCCATGCAGAGAGCAGTGACAGTCATGGCTCTCTGCAGCGATTCACCCCTCCCCTCTCCGTTCCTCCAGCTATCATTGGAGGGACAGACAGGGGAGGGGGCAGGCATAGCTTGGCTCTGAGAGGCAGAGCCAGCTGTCAATCATGTGGCAAAGTGGATCCTGACAATATTGTCGGAATACTTCCCAACTGCAGCGCAGCTGTGCGCTGTCAGTATAGAGCAGGCAGTAGCCCACTATATGCGGAGTTTGGGTCACGGGAGTACATTAGTAAAATGTACTCCTGTGACCCAAATGAGAACTAAAGGCAAAAAAATAGGTTTGGCTTTAGTTTGCTGTTAAGGGACTTGTTGGCAGGCTGCTGCTCCTTTATTGCCCATTTAATAGGCTGCAAGCATGGAAGTGACATTCTGACAAGAGAACGTTTTGTCACCTTATCTTTGCAGTCTGGCAGAGGTGTATGAATTGAAAAAAAGTGGCTGGACAGAATTACAAATCATTTGGCAGATCACGCAGTTCCAAGTTTAATACTTTAACATGTTTAATGTGTATTTAGTGGTTTGCCTGGAATTCAGCCTTTATACTTTTTACTCTGATATAATTTACCTCCTCTGATTTTTTCTTTATCTGATCTTCAAAATCTTCTCTGTTTCCTTCTAGCTGCTGTAAATAAATACTCAGCTCTTCTTTACATATAGCCAGGGCCGACTCAAGCTGTTTCACCTACAAGTTGAAAACACCCAAACATACACATTCCTTAAAAGTGTAGACACAAAAGGGACAAATTGGGAAATAATATAAGCATGTCACTCTGCCCAATGGCCCACCTTTAACGTTTCCTCCTTCACTTGGTTCTCAAACACCTTAACTGCATCGGTGGTGTTTTTTGTTCGATGATCCAGTTCCTTTATGAAAAAGGATATTTTTGTTAGAAATAATAGCAGACAAAGCACCCCAAATAAACTGCTAAATGGGGGTGCGGTTTAAACTGTGGTTTCATTCTAAAATCGAATGTTGTTAAAACCAAATGTAATTTCAACCTACATTCGTGAAATCTCTGATGGCATTATCACATGTTCTGACAAGATTTTTCGTATGAACTTTTGAATGTAAATTACTAGTCTGTAGCCAGTTTTATTTTCTGGGGCAGGGCTTTGCTCCAGTCAGAGCAGGATGATTTCCCAGCTAGAATAATCTGCTATCTTAAGGATACCCTTCTCACAAGATGCATGTTTTACTACTGAATAAAAGCTCACCACCCTTGGCAATTGCAGTTAGCGTTACCCCATATACTATTTTTCAGTTGTGATATTATACCGAAATGCAAAGTCAGAAGAAAAAGGATCTACAGAATTAGGAAACGCTCCTGATTAAAAAAGCACCCAATTCACTTCAAGGTGATTTTTATATGATCTTAAAGCTAAAAAGCCAAATTAAAAAGGTTTCAGCTGGGACTGAAGCCACCTGTAGTTATCTTGTACCGTATACCCTCCCTATCTCAGAATTGCATAACTTTAAGGCTGGCCATAAACTTTTCTATTTTTATAGTTTAGCACGCGGGCTTACCAAATAGAATAGAACTTATATATCCATCAACACACATGAGCGTTGATGGATGAATCACCCGTTGTATCCTTTGTATTCTGACAGTTGCCACCAGTTCCTGTCAGAATACAAGAATGGTTTGAAGATTTCCAACAGGCTCCTTTATTCAGCTGATCGAGGGATGCCAGCAGGAAAGTTGGCGAATTGTAGGTAGTTCATGAAGAACCAGCCAAAATTTGCATAGTGTATGGCCAGCGTAAAACTTTTGGCAGCAAATAGATGAATCCGGGGCATATACTTTATTTCTGATTTGTCTGTGTGAGGATTTTACACAAAAAGCTGACCAGCTGTACTCATAAAGCCAAATAAAAGTCAGGTCATGTAGGCAAACTCCACTTGCATGTACCGTATATGCCGGCGTATAAGACGGGTTTTTAGACCCAAAAACACTGCCCGAAGATCGGGGGTCGTGTTATACGTCGGGTATACTGTATGTAGCTTCGGCTACATACAGTATAACACGCTGAGCCAATCACGGCAGGCTTTGTATTCATTAATACAAAGCCTGTATTAATGAATGCAAAGCCTGCCGTGATTGGCTCAGCGCGGTATACTGTATGTAGCTGAAGGGCGGAACCCGGAAGATGGAGGACGCTGCGGGGATCGTGGACAAGGTAAGAGACTGTAATCCCGAGTGTGGCTCGGGGTTACCACTTATGGTACTGAAAATTAACCCCGAGCCACTCGGAATACCACCATGGAGGTTAGTGGGTACATTTAAACATTATTTTGGGTATTTTCGAGTATAGCCCAAAACCTATATTTTAACACAAAAAGTAGGGGGTCGTCTTATACGCCGGCAAATACGGTAGTTCTTGCTAAATGTTCAAGTTTGCTTGGAATATACCTTTAATCAGTTTGAATTGTGTTATTTATATTTGAAGTCAAGATAATAGTGTGAACAACAGAATACCTTTCTGGCTTCTACAAGTAGGCTATCCAGAGATTGTATCTGCTGCTGCTTTGATGCAGAGTCTTCTTGTAACATTTTAATGGTATAGTCTTGTTCTGCTATTTGAAGATTCTTCATTTCCTGCTGACACTGGAGCTGCAAGATAGAACATATGAGCATATAAAGTAATAATAGATCAGGCAAATATGAAACTATATACATTTAAAAAAACAATATTAATAAATGCATCTAGACTTTAGGTCTGCTTGTATGGATAGATGAGCTTTTACTAAAAAAAACTTACAATTTTCCTTCTTCCCCCTGCAAATTTCAAAAGTGAATGAATCTAATTTAGTGCAGTGGTTATATGCTTTGGCATTCTCTAAGATCATTTTACATGTACTAGGTTCAACAGCCACTATTCTTTATGGCTGGACTCAACGGCGACAATCTCTGAACAGACACTGCATTGGTCCTGGGCAGGCCGAGCAGTGAAAAGTTGGGTCTGATACAATTTTTATGAGAAAGGCAGGAAGAGGGGTGAAATACAGTTATTCTTACCAGGTCCCACTCCACTCCCAAGTAATGATCTAAGAAAAGGGCAAGCAAGCTAAAAGCTTACTAAAATGATACTTGAATTGTGGAAGTCTCTTCTGGATGTTGAAGAAGGGGAATACTCAAAATTAGGATGTCATAAATAAAAACAGAATTGCAGTTTTTCTGGAAATCCCCTTAAATGAATACTCTAGCAGCAGGATCTATGCAGATAACATCCCCTAACCATCCTTAATCTAAAACTAAATTAGTAGTTTAGGCATTTTTTTTATAATTTAGATGCAAAATAGAAATTGCAGCAGCTCCCAACCATTAATACACATACAGCAAGGGGACCTCTGATTGATACAACAGTAAACTGTTATAGTAAGTTTACTATTACACACACAAAAAAACACAGTTGTAGTTCTACTAGTAAAAAATGTTTAAAAGTGTTTTTTTTTTTATAATAAAAGTTATAATAATAATAATACAAATTTAGGGGGTTCGGGGAGTAAATACATACAAGGGCTACTTAAGATGAGTGAAGCTACATGACGGGGCTGACATTTATGAAGGACCACCTAATTAAATTAAACTGGGAAATATTGGCCTCGGCCATTGCTCTCCTCATGCTGCTTGGTAACTTACCCAATAATCCATGGTTATAAATCAATAGTTCAACTTACATGCTCTATCTGCTTCAAGAGTTCCTTCTGTTGTTCCTGATGCATAGTTTTAGACTTTTCAAATGCCAGGAGAACTTCTCGATGCTCCTTGCTAACATTTTCTTCTAAGTGAAGTATCTGAGCTTTAAATTCCTGAAAAAAGAAAAAACAAATTCTTGTAAAACTCTGATGACGTTAAAAGACAAACTAAAGTAACTGCAGCCCCACAACCAATATATGTGTAATAACTGTTTTTGAGATGCTCGTTTCCAGTTTTTAACAAAGTTGCACTTGTGACACACATTCCATGACAAGCACAGTATCATACTGTTAGGCCCATGTCACTGGTTTTGAAGCAGTTACATAATCTATTCCACATGGTAATTTTGTTGCTAGAAAATATCAAATCAACTGCAGTATATGAAAGGTCTGTGTTGCAATTATCCCAGCGATTTGTAACTTGCCAGAGAAAGAATCCCAAAGGCCCCATTCACATCTGTGCATTCCAATGTAGTGTGGTAACTCATGCATGTTATGTTATACATTAAAGTGACATTAAACCCTCAGATTTTTTAACATAAACCAATACTGTAATGTGTGCCTTACTGTAATCCATGGTTGTTTCCCTTCTCTTTGCTGCTCATCCGTTTAAATCCGTATCTCTACTCATGCTGGGGGAGAACTTCCCTTTGCAGCTGACTGCTTCTTCCTGTAGTGCTGGCTCAGGTAGTGAACCTTCACACAGACACCATTTCAGAGACAAGGCAGTCTGCTGCAAAACAGAAGAAGTTCTGCCCAGCATGAGAAGAGATACGGATTTAAAAAGGAAAAGCAGCAAAGAGAAGGGAAACTACCATGGGATTACAGTAAGGCACACATTACAGTATTGTTTTATGTTAAAAAATCTGAGGGTTTAATGTCACTACAAGGTCTTGTATTAAAACAGCCAATTCATGGGAAAGGGCTGCCAGCACACCACAAGAGACCTAAGAGTGCACTACGCTACCTTTGCCAACCCAGTTCACAACAATGCACAGTAGTGCGATACAAACAGGTAAGTTGCTTAGTGCATTGGGATTGCCAATCAATATGAATGGCACCCCAATGCTTTGCACAGGTGTGAAGGCAGCCTATGAGCTCAGCCCAAACCTTCTTCCCTAGTTCTCTACCCCTGCATGTTATGCTATTTAACTGATTTTTACTTGAAAATGCCTTTAAAATAACTTTTTTTTTTCTCTCCAAAAGTGGAACTATGCTTCCTGCCCATCCAACTCCAGTGTTTTATGTTGGCACAGATGAGTAGAATCCACACCCTTCAGCACCTGTCTTCACATAGACTTTTAGTGCTGAGGAAGAGAAAAGTTGTCTGACTACGTCTGTTAAAGTGCTGAGTGCCTAGGCCAAACTCTGGTGCTTATTGGACTGATTTATTTTCTCAAAACGTACAGCGCTTGCCGTCCTTCAAAGTATTCACCTTTGAAGGACGGCTAGCGCTGTACGTTTTGAGAAAATATATCCTAATAGGGGCTGAGTGCCTTTAGTTCAGCAGCTTCCCTTACCCTTCTAGAACAATTAAATTTCACATAATTTTTATCTACATAATTTTTATCTATTTAAACTTTTATTTATATTTTATTATTCCCACTTCCAATAGCGCAAGTTCTTGCAATTATTATAGCTTATTGGACTGAGCAGTCATATTTTGACACAATGTTCAAACCCTGAAACATGAAAGTGATGATGAAAAGTCTATGAAATTGAGATCGTTAGCACGATGTCTATCTGACTAAACATCTATACCTGTGACTTCAATTGAGCTTTAACTTACCCCTCTGCGATGTCGTTGATCCCTTATTTCTATTTAATTAGATGTTTAAATCACTTACATTCTCCTAGAGATACAATTTTGCCTAAATGCATTCTGCAATAGAATTACCCTCAGTTCATCCTCCAGCTCTGAATTCCTAGCTACAGCAGCTGAGTAAGCCCGAGACCTTTCTTCCATCAGTTTTTCCAGAGACGCAATCTTCTGTGATTTCTTTGTCATCTGCAGACATATTTTAGCAAAGAATGACAAGTCTATTTTTCACACATTTCATATAAAATTTAAATTTCTAAACAAAACGCAAGTAAAATATTGCAGGACATTTTTTTTACTATTTATGTTGCCCTTCATTTTGTAAAAAAACAAAGATAGATCCTCGGGTGCTTCAAAGAGGCATACCCTAAGATTGGGGTTTGATGTGTTCCATCCCAAAAAATTGCATATAAAAATGCTGCGCTATATTTCGGCTAACTAGACACCAAAATCTGTATTAATTGGTGTTGATATGTTGTCTTCCTGCCTAAAAGTGACAGTGTCACCAAAGGGCCATTTGTAAACACATCCCAGCCAGTGAGAGAAAATCATGTTTACTTACCTTTTCAGCAGACTGTGTCTCCAACCTCTGGTGCTTTGCTGCTCCCCAACCACTGCAGGTATTCTACACATCTGAGTGAGCCGATTACCTGCTCCCTTGCTGCACACTGTATTTCCTCTCCCTGGCTCATATGTTACTACAGGACATATGAGCCAGCCACAGTATCCATAGGGGGAGCAGGTATTTGGCCCACCCAGAAGTGTGGAATACCTGCATTGGCTGCAAAACAGCAAAGCACCAGCATTTGAAGACTCAGACTGCTAGAAAGGTAAGGGCACATGTTCTTCTTTAACAGGCTGGGTTGTGTTTACAAGTGACCCTGTGACAGGGTAAAAAAAGGGCATCTTTAGTGGTTTTATTAGTTTTTCTATGTTTCTTTAGCTAAATAAGAAATCTTGAACATGAATATTTCAGATTTATATATTTCTAGCCAGCAAGTGGAGCTCTTTACATGGTTTATACATTTGTAGCTGCTCTTTTGAAAAAAAAATCTTGTAGTTTGTAAAGTTCAAACTGAAATTTATACACATAACTGAAGACAGAAGAGTGGACTTCCACCTCCTGCCTGCTCAGTTAAGGGGGGCTGTGCAAAGTTACTAAGAGAGTCTAAGGCAATAAGCTGCTTCACTGCTTCAGAAAACCTATAATACTCTCTGAATTCTGTGCCATGGGTATGACCTGTATTAAAGCAAAACTCAAAAACAAAGAAAGGCCATAAAAAAGGTTTAAAAAAAAAGCTTTTGTTAAAGTACTCAAATTTATTCCAGAGTTGCTTCCACACTAACTCTTTGGTAGCACTAGATGTCAGTTTGAATAATGGTCAGCGTCATTCAACCCACTTCCACTGAGCCCAAGCTGTCATGGGCATGCCACAGAAAGAGTCCATAATGTCGCCAGACAGGCTGGAAGACCCGTGGGGGAAATATTTTTCTTTTTTAAATGGGAGTTCTGCTTTAAATATTTGGTAGATATTTTACATGTATAGCAAAAAAGCATATTTAAAGCTTACGAAACCAACAAAAAAAGGTAAAATAAAACTGGTGTCTGACCATTTCAGTTTCCCTTTAATGCACAAAACTACTTCAACAACAGCTTTGTAAAACAGAAAAACTTGCAAAGACAGAACACTCACTTCCTGTTCTAGCTTTGTTGACTTTGATGCTTTCTCCAGCAGCTCTTCCTGTATGAGTTGAAATTGACTAGTTCTCTGAGCCATCGAAAGCTTCGTATTGGCGATTTCATTCTGGGCTTTACCAAGTTTCCTCTGCAGCTCTTTCAAACTTTCTGCCAGTTTCTCCTTCTGGATCAGTAACTGTTCTCTATCTGTCTCTAACTGCATGTACTTTTCTGCTTCTGTCAAAAAGAGATTTTTTTTAACGTTAAGATAAAATCGATAAAACACAGAGATTATTTGACCCACTATCTAGAATTGTGACCGCATCACAAAAATTAATTTGGAAGCTCCTTTGAACAGGGGAACTGTGGGTATGCAGGAATTAGCTCCAGGGATGTGGCCTAGCTCCAAACGGGTAGCGAATCCAAAATCAAAAGTATTTTTTATTGCAAAATATATCTCATCCCATGGGTGGCCGAGGTCTTTACTCTTTCCGACCCCAGGATTCAAGAGGGGGCCCTGCATTATTCCTTCAGACAAAGGGAACCCAACCAGAAACCAGTACTGAGGCAATTGGCAGGGAGGAGGAAGTTGTCAACAATAACTACCCTCCTTCTCAGCATTCATGGAGACATAGCACTAAGTAAAAAAGCTAAACAATCACCATGACAGCCAGACAGTTAGTATATTTAAAAAAGGGGCTCATCAAAGAAGCAGAGCATCATGAGAGAAATAAAAGATCTGACCAATTGCATTTCTCTAAATAGTGCTTGGCCTGTTTGATCCACGGTCTACAATCATACCCAGCTCTGTCTCCTCTCTCTTCCCCTGGGCCGTGATTATTACTCTCCGCTTACAACCTTCACTTCCCGTTTTTGCCTCCACCCATGATCTTTCCTCCGTGATCTTCTACTCTATACCGTCTCTTTCTTCCCCCCCCATACATGATCTACTTTTGGCCTTCTCTCATTTTCCTCTGCTTGCGATGATCTACTCTCTGCATTCTAGCATTCCTCTGCACAAGATTAGTGATGGGCTTGGGCGTGTTCGCAGCTCCACGTGCCGAGCCCGCCAAGAAGCTGACAGCGCGCAGCGCCAGTCACTGAGACATTTCCCGATTTCTGCAGCTGCAGACCGAGAACATGTCTCAGTACCTGTGATTGGCGCTGCGCGCTGTCAGCTTCCTGGCGGGCTCGGCACGTGGGGCTGCGAACACGCCTGAGCCCATCACTACACAAGATAATCTTATCTCTGCCTTTGTTCTCTTACTTAGTAAGAGAAAGTTAGTAGTTGATCAGCTCATGCCCTGCCTACTAGCCAATTCTCATTAAACTGACAACATACACAATGACACATTATATTATAAAACTCACTGTAAGCAATGCATTTAAATGTGTGGATACACACACACACACACACACACTCTAATAAATTACATAGTGCTTCACATTACAGAATTTATGTTCATCTTGACAGCACTGCTCACAGTGAGTTACAATATGCTCGGATTTGGTAACTAGATAAAAACAATTACCAATTTGCTGTAGGGGTAACTTCACTGGTTCAACATCCAGCGGGAGGCTGGTATTTACAGTCACAAGTTTGGCTCGTAGTTCTTGATTTTCCGCTTGTTTTAGTGACAACTGTGCCCTGAAGGTATGGTAAAAGAAATGTTTAATCTCTGTTTATTAAAAGTAAATACATTATTCTTTATAAGGTTTTATACAGTTACCTCAGATCCATGATGACCAGACTGCCGTCACTGGAATGGGGTTTATTTACATCTTCTGACACATTTGTTTGGTCATTCTGCCAATTCCAAAAGCATAAAAGAATTTTAAACAGAAAAATTTGATAAAAAAGGAGAAGAGAGTGCTTTGTAGAAGGATTCAAGATGGAAACTTTAAGCTGCACACAGCACAGTTTCCGTTAGCAATGCAACCGATTTGAGAAACAACCAACACCAATGTGGCGTTAGCTTTATAGATTTTTAACGCTCTGCAGTTTGGCCACACCGGCATAAAGGAATGATTTGCGTGGCTCTGCCCACTATTCTGAAGTGAGATTTAAACTCCTTCTGTATCAGTAAACCTTTAACTATATTTAGTTTAAAAAAGACTCTACTGTGTTTCTCACTAATTAAGTGAAGCTTTTTTTTGGTGCCACCATTATCCGTATCGTTGTTCCCTCCTGTCCCTAGGAAATAAGTTACCATCAGTGATAGTTTCTTTCAGATTGCAAAATACTTTGATGACAGACTTTATCTACAGCTACAATATACATGAAAAAAATGAAGCCGCCTGTAAAAGTACATTAATAATGCTTAGTAGTGCTGCCTTCAGTGAATTAAATATATGCTCTGTTGCAGAGCTACACACAGAGCCGTATTCTACAGTTGACTGGGTCAAACCCCCGTCCCCCCATAATTCCATCTCCTGGCCACTACGTCACTAGTGTGTTTTTTTTCAGAGCGGCAGGGAACCACTAGTGACATGGCAGCAAACTAGTGGAATAACCACATGCAACGGGGACACACAGCCATCTGAATGTTCCAACTGCTATCTCATGTATATGGCCAATTTTAATGTTACGACAAGAGCAACTTACCTTCGCTTGTGATAATGGTCCGACATTGCTAGATTTAGAACCTGAATGTCTCATTTCACTGAGGTCTTCAAGTGCTGCAAGATGCTCTTTCAACTCCTTATTCTCTTGAAGAAGACTTGTATTTTCCTTTAATACTTTCTCTTTGTTTTCAAGTTCACTCTCAAGTCGTAGAACCCTCTGATTACACTGGGTAAGAAGTGCAATTAGCTCAGTGTTACTTGCTGTGGCACATTTCTCTTTCTCCTCTCCATCAGTCTTTTCAGACAGCAAACTTCTATCAAATGGGAGAAGCAGAATCAAATCAGAATTTATCAACAGGTTTAAGCTGAACTCCAGGCAACGGTATAAAAAGCAAAATTAATGCTGGCTATCATTAAAATAAAAAAAGTTTAAATGTATATTGATTTTAGCCTCCAGTAATACTCTGTACAGCAGCACAGAGTTTGTGAGGGGGTAGGGGGGCAGCAAGAACGAGCCAGTGGCGATAAAATGAACTTATCAGTGTCCTGCTGCTTCTTTACTGTCCAATTCAGCAGATCAGGAGTGGTCTTGGCCAAGCTGTACTGTTGCTGCTGCAGAGAAGCTTGGTTGCAGAGAAGCTTGGTTGCACAGATTGCGATTGCGTGGTAAGGTGCGTTAATCACACGTGACTGTGCGATTAGCGCACTGTACTGGTGTGAACGGGCCCTTAAAAACACTGACAGAAACACACAATCACAATCTCACAAACTCACATACACTCCCAACATTTTTTTATTTTTGTTCTTTTTTTAAGATCCACCCTGTCTCTATCTCTTAAGAACCGGAGTGGATCCTCAGCCTGGGGTCCAATGTGGGCTTCTGTGCGGTGACTGAGCTCCAGCCATATGTGCATTGCTTATACAGCTCCCTTGTGTGCCCTGTAGAGGTGCCGGGAGCCAGAATGTGACATCCCTCTGGTCCAGACATTTCTACATGGCACATGAGGGAACTGCAAGCAATGCACGTATGGATGGAGCTCCCTCGTGATCATGCCCCCAGCCCACCCCACCTCAAGCTGACACTCTGCACCAGGCAGCATATTTTGAATGGCTGCTTGGTGTGGGAACCGACAGTGCTGCGCTAGGGGGAGGCTAGACTCCTAGAAAAGTTACACAAAAAAAAAAAAAAAAAAAAAAAAAGGAGGACAATAGCAGTTGCCACTATGCAGTGCCCTTTAAAGGTAAACATCTCAAGTTGATGTAATCACATAAGTATATGTTAGGCTGCATTTGTTTGCACATTCATTGCCCTAGAAAAAGACCCTCTGGGTTTATTTTTAACCTCCAGCAGTGTTGGTAAAAGTGTCAACCTGTATTCCCATTCCCTGGCTCTAACATCAGCCAAGGCCCTGGCAGAGGCTAGGGAAATCACACACAGTCTGCGGACGCTGTCAATGCAGATTGTGTGAGGCTTCCCTGGCCCCTGCCAGGGCCTTGGCTGATATCAGAGCCAGGGAGGGGAAGCAGCTGTGTGTATCTGGAGTAAACAGTGACACTTCTCCCATCACTGCCATTTAAAAAAATTATTATACAAGTACATTATTTACAAGGTTTATTTTAATAGGCATGGGGCAGCAACAGAGTCTCTTTAATGAAGTGCCCTTAACATCAAGCACAGGTAATGCGTTCTCAACTACAGCGTACCTTAAATGTCCCCTCACATCTTCAAGTTCACTTTCCAATTTTCTACACTTCTCCCAGGATTCCTCTTGTTCTCTTTTACAGCCTTGAAGGGCCTGGATTTTCTGCTCCTCTTCTTTTTGAATCTATTGAATCAAGTATGACTGACTGAGAATGATTTTACATACTGTATAGTTATACAGGTTGAAAAGTCACAATTTAATAACGTTCAACCAATAGAAAAATCAAATACATACATGGAAAACCAAACACCTACATATAAAAAGGAATGTACAACTGGTCCAGAGGAAAGAAAAAAAAACCCTATAAAGCATGGTCCAATAGCTCCACCAGGAAGAAACATTTGCCCATGATCCCCCAAGGTAATTGGATATTCCACGGATCAGCAATCTATGGTGTGTTATCACTTATAAATATTAATAGCCAGTTATATTCTTTGCATTTTAAAACACATCCAGATTTTTGGTTTTTAAAACAATCAACTGAGCTGGCTAGAACTAATTCCTGAGCAAGTCTATTTCACATGATCAAAGCTCTTACTGTGAAGAAGTCTCTCCATATGGTGAGGCCAAACCTATTTTGCTCCAGATGCAAAGCGTGCCCCTTTATCCTTTGCTCTATGATCCTAAAGTGAACACTTTTGCACCTCTCATGTCCACTCCTCTGATCAGTGGGTGGGTGCAATAGCCAGCCTACTAGGGCTGCAACTAATTATTATTTTCATAATCGATTATTTTTTCGAATAATCGGATAAAAAAATTAAACAAATACCATCCTTAATTTTAAATAAAATCCACAAATACAGTGTTAAAAACAAAGTTTACTTCATAATAAAACTGCATGCACAATTTTTTGCAATCGCACTGCACTGGAACGCACGGCATTGTAGTACCATGCGTTTCAGTACGGATGATCACACTGTGGAAGGCACGTTTGGGGTGCCATTGAAATGAATGGCACTGCAACGCACCTCCCGTAGCAGAATTTGTCAGGCCGAAACTGAAAACTACTTTTTTCCCCACGTTTTATTTTGGTGCTTGAATAGCTTCAGCCAGGGAACGACAGCTGCCAGTGGCAAGATTCCGCAGACGGCAGGTGAATGTAAATACAGCAGGTAGTGGGAAGGTGCAATAGCCAGCCTGCTATTGGTCATTTCAAATTGCAATATCCAATAGCAGGCTGGCTATTGCACCCTCCCACTGCTTGCTGTGCCCTCCTCCCAGCGTGGAGGAGAGAGCTAAGGGATCCAACCAACTAATCGATGATGAGAACAGTTGATAACTATTTTCATTATCGATTGATTAGTTGGTTGCAGCCCTACAGCCTGCAATTGCAATTTGAAATAGCCAATAGCAGGCTGGTTATTGTTCCCTATTGTTTGCTTTCACCTGCCAGCTAAGGAATCTAGCGGTCGGCTGGCAGCAAGATGTAAACAGAGAATTTTATTAGCAACTAAATAAATCTAGTTGCTAATTAAATTTGTTTAGTGTAAACATGTCTCCTGTAAGTTTTTAACCCGATGTTTTATGTAGAACGCTTCCCTTTTTGGATAAAATAAAAACAAGTTTAGGAATCAAGCAACTGCAAAAAAAAAAAAAAAAATCAAGGACATATGTCCTCAATTTTATTTTGCTGGTTGATTGAATGCCAGATAATGGGGAGTTTACTGTATATAGATTATTCATGCATTTATACATGGTAATTCTATCCATCCTAAAATTTATATTCGGGTCAATACTTTTTCCCAGTTTTTTTGGCTAAAATTAGGTACCTCGGCTTATATTCGGGACGGCTTATACTCGAGTATATACGGTATTCTTAAGGCAGGATAAATTCAGTTCAGCAAATCTTTCCTCATTGCGGAGCTCCTCCATGCCTCTTATAAGTGAAGTTGCTAAAAAAACAACTAAGAACTAATGTTTGTACAGGGGGCAAGATTAGGGGTGTCTCGGGGTGTCTCTCTCTCTCTCCTATGATCTATCAGATCACCCTGATCCTGCTTAATCATTGACTCTCCCAGTTAAAAACGGGTCCCAACACTGAATCTTGGAGTCATTAATCAGTACTCTCTGCTTTACTCTATTTTATGGTCAATGTAATTCAAAGTTCTGAGCATTTGAGTCAGCTAACAAAACCAATCACATTAAAAATATGTCTGCTGATATATCAAGTGCTTCTAATGCTGCATTAAAACTAAGTTCTGATTCAGACCTTTGCAGTCACACATTATTGTGCGTTGCATTAAAGCAGTCTATTCATTTTGAATCAGCTGCCAAGGCACCACAATGGACCTTCAAACAAACCTCAACGAACGGATACAAACCATACACTTTACTTTAAAAAGCCAATTATAAATTGTTTGGGGCAGTTGCCATTTTTGTTTAGCTTGCAGGTACCTGTAGGTAGCCTTTTCAAGCTATATAGTCTTACAGCTATAGTCTCTAAAATGTACCGCATATTTTCTTAACATTTGGGAAACAAATCACCTTCGTAAAGGAAAAAGTTATAGTGGGTTTATACTTGGATTACTGTAAGGACTAAAAATATAACTTTTTAGTCTGGTAAACATTGCAAATTAATATTGTAATAATCTATCCAGCCAGCAGATGGAGCTCTAGTCTTTTTCACAAGAGAATCAACCCCTTTTATAAATGTATTCCCCTTATACAGCATCAGGAGAAGAGCCATATAAAACTTTGTAGGCTTTATGCCAATGGAGATTTGTTTAAAAGACAGACTGCGTGTTGTCCATGCTAGTTATAGTGTACTGGTGTGACACACATTGAGGCCGAAACAGATGGGTTTAAAAGCTCCAATCTTGGCCAGAGGGGAGCCACAGAACACCTTCCTAATTTGTCTTGTTACAGTACATACTTGATTGTGACATACTTGAGTGTGAAAGGATATTTATATACCTGACTGATCATTAACAGGCCCATTATCATTTTTAAGTATGAATTCATAATCTCTGTTCAATTAAACATTGTAAACATTGTACATACTTAGTCCAAGTAAACATTAAACATTGTACATGCTTTAGCAGTACATATTGTAATAATTTCACAACTATGGACACTCTGCAAACTTTGCAGACATCCTCTGGCTGAGCAACTTTGGGTGAAGAATTGATCATTTCATTTTCTCCAGCAAATCTCTATGTACTGATATGACAAAATTCTTATTCTTAGTTATTATCTAACTACTTTTGTTGCTGACCATTTTAAGGATTTTTACTGGGAAAAAAATTAACACATTCACTGTACTTCCAGTAATTTTGAGAACTCAGTATAGAACTTCTTTGCTGTTTGCAACATCTACTATATTCACCCTTGTTAAGGGGCGTGTAAATAAAAAAACAAGAATATAAAATGGAAGAGAATGAAGATCACATCCTATAGGTACATTTGAGTAGAACTTCTATCTCTTACATCTAAACTGGCCACATAACTTAAAGTGACATTATTAAACCCTCAAGATTTTTTAACATAAAACAATACTGTAATGTGTGCATTACTGTAATCCATCGTTGTTTCCCTTATCTTTGCAGCTCTTCCTTTTAAATCCGTATTTCTTCTCATGCTGGGCGCAGAACTTCTGTTCTTGGATCCGCTCCAGCTGTGGCGTCTCAGTATACCGCGATCTGTAGCTCGCGGTATACTGAGCTTAGGGTGACGGGAGGACGCTAGTTTGTGTCCTCCCGTTACCCTAAAGAGAACTATGGGGAAAAGCCCTGACCCCATAGTTCTCCTTTAAGGCATGCACACTGTCAGGGCTGCCAGTGTGCTTATTTCAGCTCTCAACCAAATGTTCAAGACCCTAAATGGCTGGTGCCATTGCTGATCACATGTGCAGCACTATGGCAACTGGCAAAGGAGACTGAACAATCAAATTAAGGTTTTCTTTTGGGGTGGCAGGTTTTGTTAAATGTTAAGGGCTTGCTTCAAGAGTTAGGTTAAAGAGAAACTACAACCTCTTTTCCCTTACAGCCAAGGAAGGTGCCATCTTAGCATTTATTAACATTGCAGTTGCCATGATGTTGCACATGTGAACAGCTATGACACCATCCATTTAATTAATTGAACGTTCAGGTGAGAGCTGAAATAAGCACACTGGCATGCTTGACAGTTGGCAAGACTTAAAAGTAATTGTTTTGGGAGACCGTTAAATTTGTGGGCCTAGCGCCACTTTAAGTGCCCATGGAATGTTTTAGGAGAAAGCCAAGTGTTCAAATAGGAAAGATTAAAAAGAATAAGTGGGGTCCAGGGGTAAAATGGTGGCCAGTTACTATACACCACGGTAAACCTTGTGCTGCAAACTACCAATGCCAGCCCCCCAGCCCTGCAAAACAAATGGATCACATATTTCAGCCCCTCTTGTTTAGCCCCAGAAAGTTTGAGGCAATACCATTTATTGGCTAACTCAACAGACTGAAAATTAAAACCTTTTGAAATGCTTACGGTTTCATGTCATGTAGGTATCATGACTGGCAAAGAAATGTACCATTTTAAAAGGACTTCCCATCTCTGGAGTTAAATACTACAGGATATAATTTAGTTTCAAACATTTTCCTGTTCTGTCACAGGAAGGCTGTAAACATTTAAGTAGATTGTAGGACTGTTTTTAAAGAATATAATTAGAGATCTAAACAGTTTTGACTTTAGATAGCACCATTTCCGTTTAGACCAGAGTTCTTCTTTAAAAAATGTTTATACCAGCCCAGATAGTCATTGGGGGGAATTTATGAACACGTCTGCGTCTGTTTAGAGCCTGTTGCACCTCCAATCTATGTGCATTGCTGCCACACAGACAAATTCCTCTTGCGGTGCACTGTGTTTTAAACAGTGCGGCTCTCTCCACTTTGTGACTGTGTGTGACAGAAGTGCAAATCAGCGTTATTTTAACTATTGTTTTTTATATCTGCGAGAGCAGAAAGTCTCTGAAGTCTTTGGCATTCAGTCGCAAAATCTTAGAAGTGCTCTTGACCACTTCTTAAATTAGTTCAAAGAAAACAAATTAGATTTATACACAAAGATAGCACTTAGCAATACTTAAAAGCAAATGTAAAGTGCATGAATGGGGCAACTATATCAACAAAACTGCTAAGACGGCAGCTTGTCTCTCAGTCTGTGTACGATCTCTGAGAAGACATGAAGGTGATCCTGCAAAGTCTGTTGCGGACATTAGTAACTACAGTGTCAGCCGGCCAGTGGATACATTTGTTTCATTTTAATGTCTTGGAAGAGATTGTGCACAGATAGCTGACCAATCTAGCTATAGTGTCAGCAGTCTAATGGATACATTTCTTTCACTTGGAAAAGATGTGCACAGATTGAGAGGCAATTAAACTGCAGTCTCATCTGCTGTGTGGACCGTCTCATTTATTTTCTTCCAACTAGTGCCAATATGCAACAGTATACTCAGTTGCAATATTGTTCTCTTAATATTATCTTTGCCAGAGATTCAGAGATAGTAACTTAGTCGCAAAATGCAACTAAATTGAAAGAATGCAGAGGATGCGATGGGATTGATAAATTCCCCCCATAGTGTTTCTCACCTTTTCTATTTTCTCCGCCACATTTTTCTTGTACTGTTGGAATGCTCTGGTTAGTTCTTCAGCATTAAACAGTGCTTCGTTTCTCTGTTTCTCAGCTCTTACAAGACAAAGCAAATGCGCTGAGGTTAGCAGTTAAATGTCCTTTAGAAGATAATAGATATTCAAGGCTGGAAACATTTGGCACAGCAGAATTTAAACACAACCATGCAATCCTTACAATAAAGAGTTGTCATTTAGGATTCGAAAGACTACAGAGAAAAATCACTTTTCAGCAAAGGAGCTCCAAACCCAATATACATATTTAAAATCTCAAAGTCTGTAATGATTCACTATTACAGCAGCCAAACCTGATCTGATGCTTGGGAAAGAATCAGGTTGTTCCACGCATAGGCCATTTCTGTCTATTGGCTGAGCACAAGGCAGATTGCACTAAGATATATCATTTTGGAGCAGAGACAGACACCTGCCCTACCCATCAAGCTCAGGAGTATATCTAATTATGTATTGCCACCTTGCACAAATGCAGATTGCTTTCATTATTGACATCTTGGCACTTTTTGCCCTTGGCATAGGGACTGGGAGCTTTCTGTGCCTAATATGCCCAATAGTTTTAGCAATGACACGTTTATGTATGGATCTGAAGAGGATAAAGTAGAAATAAAGCCCATACTTTTTTTTTACAAGGTTATTCACAAAAGGGTGAAGAGTTTGGAGAAGACAGGAGATGTGAACAATCTAGGCCAAAATAGCGGATTTGGAAAAATCCTCCAATTCAGCTCACTTTCCAGTTCAGCTATGTTGTCCTAGATTGGTCACTTCTCCTGCCTTCTCCAAACTCTTCACCCTTTTGTGAATAACCCTGTTAGTTTTGTAACACGGGAGAATCATCATCGGTCAGCTTTTTTCCCCCTCAGTGTTCCATTGGGGAGATTGTCCTTCACATCCTTTCTGATATCCACAACAGAAAGTGTGAGAGAATCTTCGAAAGTGAAGGAAAACCCTGGTGTTCAGCAGGGTCACCAGTACATGTGACCCCATTGGAAAATTTCCCATCTGCTCCTGTTCTAATGACAAGACAATATTTGGGATTTTCTTTCACTCTCAGTGAGAATGATGACTGGAAAAATAGGAGGACATGAATCTCCTTAATGGGGATACAGGCAGCAATAAAAACCTGACAGGCGTTGTAATGCCTCTCCACTCTATCCAATACTAAAAAACAAAGTTTTGGCTTTAGTTGCACTTGTCAGATATTAGCGGTTAGTTTTAGGTTTTAAGAGTTGGGTTATGGTTTAGGCTTCAGATTTAAAGTAAGGAGCTAGGTTAGGGATTACGGTTAGGGTGAGGGCAAAGATGAACTAATGCCAGATAAGAAAATCAACACTATTTACTCCAGTTATGTATTTATAAAAAATAAATAAAAATAAATTGGTGGTAAAGCGACAGCATCTGAGCTCCAGCAAAGTGCAAACAGCATTGGGCATACATCCTAAGATTTGGTATTTTCCCTAGTGCCATCCTATGCTCTGAGAATAGCTCCATGGGTATCTGACCTTTACAATTTTGGGCAATATGCAAGTACTGGTGTGCGCCCTTTGCGGTCTTCGTTTGTGCTTTGTAACATTAGTCTGTGAAAAGGGGCCTGGTTGGCACAGGGATTCAGAAAGCAACATTCACTCCCATATATTTCTGGGCAAAAAAAAAAAGAGAAATAAAACATTTTGCACATCTCTGCAATACATGCACATTTCCTCATGTTTTAGCCCTTTAAATAATGCAACAAGAAAATGCCTATTCTTCTACAAGAAATCCAGTGTGCCCCAATCCTCCTGTATCAGGAGACAGGTGCCACCGCTTCACTGACAACCCAAGTAGTGTCGTCAGCCCTGCCCAGTTCTCCCTTCTGAACATTTCTCCTCTCCTCAGCTTCATAACATAAGGGGTAAGCATTCTATAGTCCAGCAGAGGAGAACTCTGCCAGGGCTGGTAACACTACTGCTTGGGATTTCAATGCAGCAGAGAGTTGTCAGCCCACTACAGGCAGTTAAAGCATACTGGCAGGATGAACTGGTATTTTTCTATCCTTGTAGTTTTTTTTAATGACACACAATATTGGGAAATATGTATTGCAGGGATGTGCTGACTATTTTTTTTTAAATATATTTATTTATTATAACTAGAATAAAAGTTCAAAGAATCAACATCTCTTTGACAGGTTAAATAACAAGAGTAATGAAATAGTGATTAAATAGAAGAACAACACATCGTCAAATTGTACAAAGGGTGCAGCCCATAGAACATTGAATTAGATAAAATAAGCAATATAAGCCCAATTGAATATGAAATAAAAGATCACAGTATTATATTGCATACAATTGAGCCCAGCCGGGCAGGGTATAACTATGTACCGGTGAAACTCGAATAATTAGAATATCGTGCAAAAGTTAATTTATTTCACTAATGCAACTTAAAAGGTGAAACTAATATGAGATAGACTCATTACATGCAAAGCAAGATAGTTCAAGCCGTGATTTGTCATAATTGTGATGCTTATGGCTTACAGCTCATGAAAACCCCAAATCCACAATCTCAGAAAATGAGAATATTGTGAAAAGGTGCAATATTCTAGGCTCAAAGTGTCCCACTCTAATCAGCTCATTAAGCCATAACACCTGTTAAGGGTTCCTGAGCCTTTAACCTCCCTGGCGGTATTCCCGAGTCTGGCTCGGGGTGAATTTTCAATGCTCTGTGGTACGGATCAGGCTGCGCCCCCAGAATTCCCATTTACGGGACCATTTTTTTAAATTATTATATTATCTCTTGTCTCTTGATCTCATTATCTATGTCTCTTTAAGAACATGTAAAGTTCAAATAGAAGATGAAGCTTCTAAGATAAGGAAATTATGAGCTTTGTGCATTTCTTCCAGATCTGTACAGTAGCTTCCTGTGATAAAGACCAGTCACTGCTGTTCTCTTTCCTTGTGTAGAGTAACTGGTCTTGCACCTGCCCCTCCTGTAGTTTTCTGCAGGCAGCTTGTAGTGGGTGGACCTGCTAGGTCAGAGTGTAACTTTAAACTGCCCAAATGAATGCTCAGAGTGTAACTTTAAACTGCCCAAATGAATGCACATAGTGTGTATTTACTTTGAGATTCAGCAGAATTTAATCATGACAAAATGATAACCTGTTTTCCCAGCAAGAATTTTATTGAACTATTACCTTTTACATTGTTTGTTGCACTCGTACAATTCCATTTTCATACTTTTCAATTCTTCTCTGAATTTTTGTTCTTTTTCAGCCATTTTGCGGTGGCTTTCCGCTAGTTTTTCTTCTGCAATCCTAAGAAAGTGCCATCATAACAATTATTTTATCATACAATATACTAAGTATATATTACATTTTATACATTATTTCAACATATTTTTACTTTTTATCAAACTACACCTTTAAAAATGTGTTGAACACCTGGCTGACATATGTTAGTGTGTGTGCTTGAATCCAGTGCAATACCCATTTCACGGTCAATCATTTTTTTTCACACATACGCTGTAAGCAGCTGAGCAGTACCGATTACGGAGATCTAGGCTCTGCTTAATGTGTTAAGCCTTTGTAAGAGGCAGGATGTAGTTTCACATTAGACGTGAATTCCCCTGGTGAAAACAGGAAGTTACAATCTGTCTTAAAGTGGACATGAACTTAAATGTGAAGATTTGTTTGTTATAGGGGACATCTAGAAATGTTTATTGTGCCCCAGGTTTGACATCCTCCTGAAAAACAGCAATGCATGTCCTACACATCAATCCTGGGTCCATGGACAATCATCTATCCCAAACCGCAGGTAATTGTACAATGTATGATTACATGCCGACATTCACCCTTGCCATTAATCAGAATGATTACAGCTGCCGCATCTGAACGAGGACATCCATAAGTTCTTACGGCAGAAATCCCTGAATGCAGCATAAGTCCCTGTGTGAATGGGACCTAAAATTGATCTCAAAATCAAGCGGTGTACACCTGAAAGCAAGCTGCATTTCACTACCATTACAACACCAAAGCCTGTTGATACAGGTCCCTATGATGGTGCCATCTGTGTGACAAAGTGTGGATAATGAAATACTATAGTACCGAGATGTTGTATGCAACGCCCTCCTCTCAAACAGCCCACAAGACACAAATTATTTTTATTTTGATAACATAAGAATACAATACTGTTACCTGAGAGCTTTTTCCTGAGCTTGTAATTCTGCTTCTGAACTGACAATTTGTTCCTCTAGCTCAGGGATTCTGGAGGAAGGATTTCCAAGGGATGATTCATAAAAGCGAACCTAAAAACATAAATAATATGTCTAAACTTCCAAAAACCAAGTAGATGCAAAGCAATAAAATCTTTTCTTAAACATCTGCTATGCCGATACAAATCCTAAACTAAGGCAGCACAGTGGTGTAGTGGTCTGCCTTGTAGCACTGGGTGGTCCCTGGTTTGAATTCTGGACGGGTCATTATCTGCAAGGAGTTTGCATGTTCTCCCTGTGCTTGCATGGGTTTCCTCCGGGTACTCCGGTTTCCTCCCACTCCCCGAAGACATGCGGGTAGGTTAATTGGCGTAAATTGTCAGCGCTATATAAATACCAATAATAAATAAGTAAAAGACAGATCAGAAAACCGCCGCCATCACTGCTTATTCCCTTGCTGCTCAGTGTAGCAAAGGCATACATCCCATGAACGTGGAAACTGACTTTAGGGCACTGGTTCACAAAACTGAACACAATGCAAATGGAGAACTTAATGGACCCCTTAGGAGGTAAAACTAATTAATGCAAACATGATTCTAATGGAAACAATGTGCCCAGACCACAGGGTACTTGACCGAGACCAGAAATTATTAATTGTCCAGAGCAAAGTGCACATTCTAACCTTAGGTAGGCAATCAAGGGAAGAATCCAGAATTCAAAACAAATTCCAGTGGAGATACCACAACCATCCTGCAGCTCTCATTAAAAAATGGTCTTGGAATTCCACCAGAAAGTACCTTTGTATGCAACGCTCTGTGCTCATGGGTATCACTGTGCCGATCCCAGCATCCCAGACTGCTTTCAGCTATAACTCCTGCTAGGTTGAAGGGTCCATCTCAACTGGATGACCGGGAACAAACTCTGGGCCACAGATAAGCAGGTTTAATATTTTCCTTTGTTAGTGTTTTTTATATTATACTTATATATTAGAATACATGTGAAACTCAAATAATTAGAATATCGTGCAAAGTTCATTTATTTCACTAATGCAACTTAAAAGGTGAAACTAATATATGAGATAGACTCATTACATGCAAAGCAAGATAATTCAAGCCGTGATTTATCATAATTGTGATGATTATGGCTTACAGCTCATGAAAACCCCAAGAACCCCAAATCCACAACCTCAAAAAAGTAGATTATTACATGCAATCAATAAAACAAGGATTGTACATGGAACAATATCGGACCTCTGAAAAGTACAAGCATGCATATGTACTCAGTACTTGGTTTGGGCCCCTTTTGCAGCACTTACTGCAATTACTTTTGCACGATATTCTAACTATTCGAGTTTCACCTGTATAATATTACTAAACTACCTGTTGCACACTCTGCCTTGTTGTTGTTTTTAGTACCCAAGACCCTCCAATATAACAATTCCAGGATGTCATTTCAAAACCTCCCACAGAAAGACCATCCTTTTAGTGCACTTGAATGAAACGATAGTGTCTTCAGAAAACAGTTAAACATTAGGCACTAAGGGCACCCATAAGTGCAAAATGGCGCTTTAAAAAACCCCATAACCACATAAAAAATGAAAAAGTTATCAAGGATTACACATAAAAGCAAGTAACCTTCGATTTGGATTTTGTGAGTTCCAGCTGCATGGATTTGATCTTGTTCACCAGAGAGTGGTTTTGTGAGGTCAAAGAAGCATTTTGTTCCTGAAGAACATGCACTTTCTCTCTCAATGTTCTGTTTTCCTGTTGAGAGCTCCTTACTGATCTCACCTGCAATGGAAAGGCCTATGATAAATGATGAAACATAAAGATGGTCAGACTGGTCTATTAAATGTAAAAATTATAACTGGATAGGATTACTATAGGTAGCGTATCGACTGCACTGTTCAACTTCCAGTACTTTTCGATTTACCGGCTACATGTTTACAAGCTTAATCTTCCACTTTTTTGGTACTGGATTAAATCTAGAGATTTTTAGATTATACAACAAAGGGTGCTCTAACTGACTCAAGTCAAATACTCCATCTTTCAACTAACAAATGCTGAGGTTTAAAGAAGGCTGAAGGTGAGCCCTAGGGTATATAACCCATCCAATGCCAGGCATGCTCCAGCTGTAGCAGGCACTGCAAAAATGAGGCCAATGGAAAAGAATAGAGGGAAAGAACCAAAGAGCAGGTAGCAGCCTAACAAAAAACCACACAGTTCTGATCACTGCCCTAACTGAAGAATGAGAAGCCTGCGTATATCTGAACAATGGTTTGGTGAATCCACCTACAACTGACAGGACTGAGCAGGCTCATCATACAATGAAAGTGACAGGGATTTCCACACTGGGATACTCATGGTGCCAAGTGCTGGGAGTTCAGGATCCCATGTTCCTGCAGACAGCCAGGAGTGTCCCAGCAATTCTTTATCCTCTGGAAGCAGGGGCAGAACTGCTGGTAAGAGCAGAAAGCCGCAACCCTATGTGCATACAGCATCTTTGAGGGGCAGAGAATGTGCAGCCTTGGAAGCTTGTATGCAAACCAAAATCATGACAGCCGTAGCGTAGAACAGCCTTTCTCAACTAGGGTGCTGTGATACCCAAGGGTGCCTTCTGCGTTCCTCTGGGGTGCCTTGAAATTCTCATACAGGATCATGCTTTCCACTGGCCTAGAGGACTCTTGCAACAGAGAGGACTCTGAATCAGCCATTTCAGGTAAAAACCATGCTCAAGGTGGATAAAGAAACAAGGTCAGTGCTTGCAGTGCATTGACATGGCTCTGTCTTTGGAAAGCGCATTCACAGTGACAAGCAGACCAACAGGTAGAAACAAATAACCCAGTACACAGAACTGTTGCAGAGAATTCTTCAAGCAATTTAGGAAAAGCCTACATTCGATGACTAACTGCAGAGATTCTCAAGGACTGGAAAAGTCTGGTGTGAATCATCCAGCAACTACTTGATTGAAGAATTGCACTTTATTTTCCAAACAACAGCGCTGGAAGAGGAAGGTGTCCACACTCCTAAGGACATTAGCTAAAACTGGAGCATGCCTGGTATGGGAGGGGTGATATACCTTATGCCAGGGGTAGCCAAACTCCGGCCCTCCAGCTGTGGTGAAACTACAAATTCCATGATACATTTTCTTCGGGAGTCATGTCTGTGGCAGTGAGAATCTTGCAATGCCTCATGGGATTTGTAGTTCCACCACAGCTGGAGGGCTGGAGTTTGGCTACCCCTGCCTTAGGCCCTGTTACAGTCATTTGCACTAGTGTCCATCCTCCAGTAGGTGACACTATAGAACCCATGGTCAAATTTACAGTTACCGTGTCCCTCAATGGATTGTAATGATCAAATATTGTAGCTGTAATTACATTTATAATTACATAATATAATCCAGTAATGAGAAGCAGGGGTGAGCTGGATAGGTCTCTGATGCAGTTAAAAACCTGACAGGCTCCTGAGCAGAGCAGAGGCTGCCTAAATACAGTTCCACGATTCTGGTCGCGAACTGAATTGTCCGCGAACTGAATCAAACTGTGATCAGATCGCAATCTCGACTAGAGGAAGCCACGACCATGCGTCAGAGCACGGAAGACGGCTGCGGTTGTGTTCGCCATCCGATGCGGAGTTCCCAAACGGAAGACAAATTTTGCCAAACTTCCTGCTCGCGAACCGAATTGTTCACGAACAGAAGCTTTCATGAACCGAGGTACCACTGTACTTTATATGCCAACTGATTTGTCACATTAACCTGTAATAATAAATGCCTATCATACAAGCAAACTTTAGTTTTTGTGTAAATCCACTTTACTGGTCCACTGGTCATAAAAGTATGGGTAAGGTCCCAAAAAACAATAGACTAAAGCTAGATTTTTTTTTTTTTAAATGGCCCAAGTGCTGTGTGATCTTCCATTCCTGTCTTACAAATATGTATGTCTAGTGTTCACCACAGTCCTCTTATCACCAGTGACAGAAACGCAGATCTTCTTATCACTTTCCCAATATTAGCAAGAACCAACTTGCCCTAACTTTTACATCCAACTCGAAAAATATGTACACCAAACTGCAGGAAAAGAACTGTTTCCGCTATGGACGAAAAACGTATTCACCTGGTTTGGCCGGAATAGCATTCTCAAAATGAATGTCCTGCCTCGCCTGCTCTACCTCCTTCAGACTTTACCGGTACACATTCCGACTGGCTTTCTGAGGAAGGTGAGAGTAGAATTTGGCAAGTTCCTCTGGGCACAGAAGGGCCACCGTCTTAGCCAACTGCTCATATCTAGGCCCAAACACATGGGGTATGGGGTTCCCTGATCCCTTGGACTATCACAAGGCGGTCCATATGGCTAGGATACTAGATTGGTGCCAGGGGGGAGAGGAAAAACAGCGGATCCTAATGAAGCAGTCCTGTACCACAATTCCTCTGGGGGGCCTACCCTGGACAGACAGGAAGCATACGAGCCACCTTCGGGCTCATCCACTCATTGGCTCTATGCTGGCTATCAGTAAAGCAGATAAGACTGGCTGTAGGGCAGATAGGTATCCTTCCCTGATGACCCCAGTGTTGGGGCACCCAGACCTGCCCGTCTCACCCTATGACAAGGAGATCAACCGAGTAATAAAGTCAGGCAGCTTCAGGATCTACCACTTCCGGGCTGGTACGGGTCTATTACCTATTAAAGATATTCAAGCATGCTCCGACCCTCCCATGACCTTTTGGAAAGCACTCCAGGTGCGCCATTTCCTCACCCAACTGGTTAGAGGTCCACGGGAGCTGCCTCCCCTGACCCCTTTCAAGGAAATCTGTTTGAGGGAGGGTCCTACCCGCCATGGCCTGTCAGAAGCCTACAAGCTGCTGGGTGACCCGCCTGATCTACCCCTCCCGGTGAATATCTCTAAGTGGGAACGAGATCTGGGAATCACCTTTACTCCGCCCCAAGTTGATAGGATATTTCAGATGACGCATAAGGCCTCTATATCCAGCAGTTCAAAATTCTCTCCAGATGGTACAGAGTCCCAACAACCTTGCATAGAATGTTCCCACAGTGCTCATCACTCTGCTGGCGTTGCCAGACACAAGAAGGTACGCTATTGCATGTATTCTGGTCCTGCCCTTTGCTCAGGGTTTTCTGGGATAAGGTGGCAGAGGTCTGCAACACATTGACAGGGGTTGTTTTGGGGTCCGACCCAGCTGAATATCTCCTACACCTGGCACCCATGCCCTTACGCCGCTATAGGAAGTCCCTCTTAGTGCACTTACTCAGTGCGGCGAAGGTGTGTATCCCCCTTTACTGGAAGCACACGGCTGCGCCACCAATCTCACTGTGGCTAGCAAAGGTCGGAGAGATCCACAGAATGGAGGATCTCCTGGCCTCCGCTAGCCACAGAGTGACACAGTTTAATCGCACCTGGTTTTACTGGATGGATTTCACTACCACCCAGGAATATGCCGCCCTACTAGGGGAGATGTAAAGACTGACACGGGGGGCGGCTGACCTATTTGGGGTGGAGATGTGGACATGCGGGGCCTCATCCACGTGCAGTAAGCCCGCGGATAGGAGATAAACAGGAGAATGATAGGAACTGCGGTGAAGCGATCAAGATCCGATGGAGACTCGTGAGACAACGTCTGTCTCCCCTTCTATACTACTTTTTCGCCTCTCTTTCTTCTTAGTCTTTTCTCTTCTTCTCCCCCCCTCTCCCTACCTTTTCAACTCTATCCACCTCAATTGCTCATTAATATGTATATGGTATCTGTTTAACGCTAAAAGAGAAGATATGGTTTACCACGGACAAATTGTACAGGCTAATGTCTGAGCCAGATTGTGGTTGTACTACAAGATGTATACCCTATGATACATAGATGTTATAGTGGATTTCCTTGACCTATTTTCTAGTACACATGTGCTAATGCTATTTTCTTACTGTTTTGTTACAAAAATATCATAAAACCTATAAATAAAGAATTTATTTAAAAAAAAAAAAAAGAACTGTTTCTCTCTCTGTAGAGAATAATTTTGTGACAATCACAGAAATTCCAATATGTGGGTACAAGTGATAACTAACAATACCATTACTTACCATTACATGCAAGGATGCTCATGTCCTTCCATGTTATCACAAACATCTGAACTGATTATGCCACTGAAGATAAATATTGCCTATGGATGGCTGCTAAAGTAGCACAGCAGACACCACTAGTGTTCATCTTAACTTTGGAAAATATGAGCCAAGCAGCCAAATGAGACCCCCTTACCAACAGCCTTTTCCTCCATGAAACTGGTCATCTGAGGGAATCTGCTGAGGTTTGAGAGCACCCATAGACATCCTAATCAAGTACCAATTGCTTTGTTTGGCCCGTCCCGGACCCTATGCCCGCAGCTGCTGGCCGCCAAAGGGTGCGGGGGCAGGGAGATGGTGCCGTCAGATGAGCTGCGGAAGGGATTGTGGCAAGCAGTGATGAGGTCACCACCGCTGCGACCCGTCCTGTTGGCAACCGGGATCGGAGTGAAACCGTGAGTGAGGGAAGCTGGGACGGGGCTGGCTGTAAATCTATTGCTATAGTGTACTGGACGTGTGTACTGTATATGTAGTACATATATACAGCACACAGCTCCACTACACTACAGCAATAGATGTACAATTATCCTCTGCTAACATGAATAGGTTAAATCATGATCCATAGTACAGAACATGTAGTTGTACTATGGATCATTTAAAGTCACCTGTCCCTTTAAAAGAAAAAGTATCGGTAATTGGTATCAGCAAGTACATGAGGCGAAGTACTTGTACTTGGGCCTGAAAAAGGGGCATCGGGACATCCCTACTAAATATGTACAATTGGAGATAATGGTTAAAAGAAAAAAAAATTTATTCCCTGAAATACTTATAAGAAAACGGTCTAAAGTTGGTGCGACAAATTGATATACCTGACAGAAAAATGTACATGAGCTTGTCGCTTAACGTCATGTGGGGTGGGGGCAGCACTAAGGCTGGTGGGTCCATACTGGACACTCCATCTTTTATACCCATTTACACCCCAGGCTGCACAGTGTCATTGGTTGCTAGTACACTGTCGGCTGCAAAGCAGCTGCAGAGCAACCAATGACAATGTGCAGCCCACAGCTCCCTAGCAACCTATAACCCTGTTCTCCCAATAGTGCCCTAGCAACCAAAGACGCAGTGCTCCAGACAGCGTCTGAGCAACTAGTAACAGGTTGGGGGGGGGGGCATTTTGAGGATGTCACATGCAAACATGCCTTGCGCTTTATCATACCACAGACCTACGCCGAGCAATCTGCCCTGTCTCTGACAAACAACTTAGAGTAGCTCTTAAGGTGCCCATACACCTTACAACTATCACACGACTTTCGTTGTGCGATGGTTGTAAGGTGATTAAAAGTTTATACGACCCGCCCATCTTGGACAGGCAGATTGTACTTGCGATCGTTGCAAGTCCTCCCCGCTAAGGGGAGGGCTTGCAGATGATTGCAATGCTGAGCAAGCACTGTGTGCTTCTCGGGCCGTGCGGCTTTCGTCTTGCGATTACGCTACCAACCGGGTTTTCTCGCATGCTCGTTATCCGAAAATCGTGCGACCGTACAGTAAATGCGATCGCACGCTGCCCATCAACCTTATAATTATTGAACGATCGCTGGATCACCCGCGATTATCGTACGATAATCGCCACTTGTATGGGCACCTTTAATTTCCTTATCTACGAGCTAGCAGTAGTTCTTTGTGAATTTGTTGCAGCCGCAGCAATGCATGGTGAATGTGGTGCAAATAAGAACACATAACATAAATTAAACTATCACAAGGCTTTCATGAATTAGGCATAGGAGTTTTTAAAGGGGCCATACCAGCAGAAAAGTGTTGCAAATGCTATATTGAAATCAGGTTTGACTCGAAAGAATTTTCAGTTCCGCAGGATGTTCACAGCTCACATATAAGCGTTTCTCACCTTATTTTGAGCATTCCTTAGGGAATCCCTTTCACTTAAATCCATTGTGTTCTTTTGCTTGGAAACAAAGTCCCTCGGCTGGCAATGACTGGGCTGTTGGAGATCTTCTAGAGTCAGGCCCAGGGGAGCTCTGTGCAAGGAGTGCTCGCTTCTGCTGTCACAGATACAAATGACAGATGGTATAACATGGTAAGAGTACAGAAAATGAAATAGAAAATGCTGGAGCACATACTGTACATTACACATATAATTGGAAAAACCTATTAACTTCATGTAGAAGTCTTGGCACATTCACAATTAAGACAACTGCAAGATATTTTAGATGTAATATGCCATCGTCCTCTCACTGTGGGTGGGAATTAAAAATGTCAGTTCCATATAAACCCAGAAATCCTAATAACAGAGGTTACATGTAAAATGAAGCAAAGGACTTATAATAGAGTTGAATTTCAAGCAGATTAAAAAAACCTGAATTTATACAATTACATATACAACAAAATATTTTTATATAAAACTAGCATAAAATGTCTGCGTCTATCTAGATATCATCCTTCTGTAATAACAAGCACAGCACTGCTCACACTAGCAGGGGAGGCAAAACTATATGCCAATAAGTTCTGTATAACAGAGCTGTCACTCAACAGACATATGAGCATACTTACATGAGGAGAGAACATTGAAATGACCTTACTAGTGTGCTGCTTCTGTTTTCACTCAAATACAAGTTGGGTACATTGAAGTCACCAACCTGGATGTGATGGCTGACAGGGGTACCTGGATCACATGACTAATCAGACCTAGTACACGTTTTCTGGTAGGTGTAATAATTCCCTATGCATGCATTTAAGCTGTATTCTTAGCAATAAGTCTAGAGTTCAGCTTTAAATTTGAACACTGACTTTAAGTTCTGGATTGAATTAGAGAACAGAAGTTCAAACTTCTTTTCAGAAGATTCTTTTTTTTAACCTTTTTTGTTAAACAGAACTCTAGTCTGCAGCAATCTAGATTTGTATAAATCTCTCATGCATGATCTGCAGCTTTCTTCCCTTTTTTAAATATGTATCTAAAGTTTTTGTCCTTCAAATGAAAAAAAAAAAAAGTCACATCCTTGTTCTTTTCATCTTGTTCTGCATTCACCTGTGGGAGGAATCAGGTGAAACCAGCACATCACTACAGTAATGCCCACTCAATGGTGACTGACATTTAGCAGACATCATGCCTAGCTAAATGAATACAGTAAACTCTCAGTTATCCAGTATTCAACTAACCAGAAAAAAAATCCTCTGTGTACTCACTGTTCTGCTGATTTGTGGCATGTATTATCCTGGAAATGATCGTGTGCCTATTTGTCTTAATTCGTTTTAAGTGTGTCTATTTGACTTTATTTTCTTTTGATTACAGTACTGCATTTCAATATTAATATGAAAGCAATACAGAGTCTATGGTATAGTATAGTATGGGGTATGCAATTAGTTAGACCGGTTTTTAATAGCAACTCTTAAGCAACCAGAAACTACATTTATCCGGATTCTACCAATCCCCTGTGGATGTCGGATAACGGGGAGTTTACTATACATAGCTTTGCTTAAATGAACAGTAGAATATGGTTGTGTGTTGCAAGTGTCTGCAATTAAAATCACACTGCACAGAATATGACATTAGTCTGAGCCCTTCCATACTGCTCAATGCTCATGTATAATTGGATAATGCAGCACAAGTGATCGCCTTATACAATAAGGAACACAGCAAGTCTCTTCTACTCACTAAGAAAAAGCACTGCATTGAAACATACAGAGCAAAACAACAACTCACAGTACACTGTTAGCTGCCGTTCCTAATTAGCATTCAATGTACAGAGGGGGCAGGCTCTGCAGTAACTCGTCACCCAGATGAAACACTCCCTGTCTGTGGGAGCTGTGCTCCTGATAGGTCGGTGTGCCGTCATTGTATTAAGTGTTTAAAAAAAAAAAAGAAACACTCCCTATGGAAGTTGTTTGCACCACATGGGACTCAGTAGCTGTAAATGATACCCCTGCTAAAGCCCAGGGAGTGTGTCACAGTTTTAAAAAATCAGTGGGCCCTAAGGGAGACTGGCCATCTACAGACAGAAAGTATGCATGCTGAAATATCTTTTTAAACATTCAGAAGCACACAGTGGGGAGGAGAAGGTGAGAAAATTAGAGAGCAACAAAATATTTTCCCAAAGGGTAAGGCAGAAGTAGATTATTATTATTATAATACAAGATTTAGAAAACAGATACAGTATAACAGCTTGTGCAGTGCCTTACAAAATAAAGATAAGCAGTACAGTTATAAAACATTTCAAGACAAGGGGGATAGGTGAGCCCTGCTCATGAGAGCTTACAATCTAAAGGGAAAGTGATACAAAAGGTAGTAAGTGTATGGGGATGAGTTGTGTCAGAAAGTAACATCAATTGTTAGGCAGCGACGGGATAGACTTGCGGAATAGATGAGGAGTTTTTGTGGACTGCTTAAAGGCAGACAGGAGAAAGAGATAGCTAGACAAGTTGAGGTAGTGAATTCCAGAGAATGGGGTTTGTTGATGAGGGAGCTAGAGAGCAGGAGGTCAGTGGAGGAGCGAAGGGGATGGTTTGGGTTATATTTTAAGATGAGATGCACGATGTAGCTTGGGGCAGAGTTGTGGATGGTTTTGTACATTGTTGTTAGTATTTTGAATTGTATTTTTTGGGCAGTCAGAAGCCAGTGGAGGGATTGGCAGAGGGGTTGCGTACACCGAGTGGCTGGCAAGGTGAATGAGACGGAAACAAAGCTTGAATTCTTCTATAATGCTCCATCTGTAGCAGTGTACTTCTTTACAGAATCATTTGCATTCAAGTGTACCTTTGGTTAAAAAGAATCCTATTTTTTTTTTTATAAAGTAGAGAACAGTTAGAATCTCAACCTAGAGCTGTGTTTGGAAGAGTACCCCACTGCTTCCAGGATGAGTACTGAAGTGAACATTTTCTAATGAGATATTAATAATAAAAAATCTGACAAGACTCTACCTGTCTGCCATTCTAACCAAGAAAGAACATTTAAAGCGGTAGCAACCACCAGCATAAACATGTCAGTAGTGGGTCCCCAGAAGGTGTTTCCCATAACGTACCAGTATGCACAGCATATTAGCACATTATGGGTGACTTACCTTACAGGCGATCTCCTCCAGCGCTGCAAAGTCAGTGCTCTCTTCCTCCGCTGGCGCTGTCATCTTTACCAATCTTCTTCCGGGTTTAGCTCCTTTGGCCTCTTGATTGCCGGAATGATGTAACTACTGCGTATGCGCATGGAAATTACTTCACTTTGGCAAAGGGTAACCTTGCCAAGCTGCAGCTCAGTGCACACAAATTTTGAAGGGCAGGAAGGGAGTATTTATGCAAGAAGAGATATACAGGGTGACGGGTCTCTTCCGTCATAAAAACCCTGTCAGTGAATTTTAAAACGTAACTATCAAAAAATAGATAGATAGATAGATAGATAGATAGATAGATAGATAGATAGATAGATAGATAGATAGATAGATAGATAGATAGATAGATAGATACTTTAATGAGAAAGCATACCCGGAGAGGTGACCTTCCAAGCTCCATAAGTTTTTCTCTGTTTGCACTCGATGGCTTTTTACTGCCTTGACACTTTCCTCTAATAAACCTCGGTCTTCACACGGTGAGGTATTAGATTCCATTTCACTGGGGATCTCTCTACAAAACAATCTAATATCAGCACACTATAAAGCAGAATTTATAAGAACATGAGGAAAAAAACCAAATAAAAGATGGCACACAGAAAACAACCTAAGAGAAATCCCCTTTATATTGTTTCTATACAACCAGGAGTATGGCTATGTTCACATCACATACATGCTTTTAATTAAATCTAATTTGCATGCATTGTAAAGGGCCTTATTCAAGATCATGCACACACTTTCGAAAGCATACCAACAAAATCTATCTGCAATGTACTACTCCCATTAAAATGGTTGGGAAATGTGAAAATGCTTCCTACTTCATGTTATGACTGTCATTTAAAGTGGACTTTACTTTTAATATGTGATTGGAATATTAGGAATGGGTTAATTCAGCGTCTCAGGAGGCTTTGTGGGGTCTGACCAGGGTTGTACGTGGTCTGACTAGACCTGCGTGCGGGTCTGACCAGGGCTGTGCGTGGTCTGACTAGAGCTGCGTGCGGGTCTCACCAGGGCTGCATGCGGGCCTTACAGCAGCCGCTTGTACAAACCCTTGCAGTGGGGCTGACTCCAAGCTGCAAGGATTAAATACTATTTTTGGCCTAGGAGTGCAAATAAAGAAAATGTACTTACTTGATCCTCACTCCTGCCTGCCTGCTAGACCAGTCTCCTGCAGCCTCTCTGCCACTGGTTCCAGCAGTCTAAGGACCACTGACATCATCAGGTCTCATGCAGCTCCATTGACTTGCATTAGACGTGAGGACACCGAAGGAGAACACTGTAGCATACCTGTAATTGCATTGCATTGTATTGTATACCTGTAATTGCATTGTATTGTATACCTGTAATTGCATTGTGCTTAAAGCAGATTTTACAGCCAAAGGTTACAAAATGAATAGCCCATTAAAAGAAAAAACAACGTGTCCAGCATTTGCTGCAATATTCAGCGAGTTCCCAGATTTGATGGACAGCATCATTCAACCCACTTCCTTTCACCTCAGGTCATCATGAAGCTTCAGATCTGTATAAAGCTGGCCATAGACCTTACAAGCATCGCAAGACTTTTGTCTTGCGATGGTTGTAAGGTAATTAAAAAAACGTACGATCTGCCCATCTTGGACAGGCAGATTGTACTTGCAGTCATTGACTGCAATGCTGAACAGGCAGTGTGCGCTTGCGCTGACCGGCCTGTGCGGCATTTATCTTACGTGCAGGCCACAAACCCGCCGACTATCGTACGATTCTCGCCGGGTTTTCGAACATGCTCGTAAGACAAAAGACGTGCGACCGTACAGTAGAAACGGTCGCACGCCTTCCATACACCTTGCGATTATCGTACGATAATCGCAAGGTGTATGGGCACCTTTAGGCTTCATGCACACAGGCACAGTGGGCCGAACACATATAGGTTCGGTGTATTTTCACACCCAGGCCATTTCATGTGGCCCTCGCACCTCTCCTGCAGCTTTACATTTTAAACTGAAGCCAGCACTGTAAACAGAAAGGATGCCGAGGCCCAGCAGCATACCTATGAATCGGGGTGCTTGTTTAGAGCACGGTCAGCAAAACTTCCCCTTCCTGTGGATCCACGCCGCCCGCACCTGCCAAGACCAACCGGGACCCCTTGTGGGACTGCACAGCCCTCCTAATACCCCGCACAGCCCAGCATAGACCGCACACAGCCACCTGAGGGTCCGCATGGCCCACCATAGAACCGCACAGCCACCGTGCGTGGCCACACGGCCCACCATAGAACCTGCATAGCCACCTGAGAGTCTACACAGTCCACCATAGAACCTGCACAGCCACCTGAGATTCCACACTATTACACTAATTGCCATTATTTTTCCTAGACTTCTACTTTCAGAGCTAGTTATTAAATTATTACCAAAACCAGTCAAATTTGAATGCAGAGGAAATGATTAAATATGAGAGAAAATACATTTATATAGTCTTACAGATACATACAGCCCTTTGAGGAGAGCAACCATAATGTGGCCCACTATGAAAATGAGGAGAGAGAAGGTCTACTAAACAGGTACAACCCTGAAAGATCCCGGGGTGCTGTGTCATGCTAATCATACAAAGGCAGACCATAGGAGCAGGGGTGTAGTACTGTAATACTGCAGAGAGCAGATTCCCTGCCCCCACAAGGAGACCTGGCACATGTATTGCATGTGTCACCTGCACAGAATGTCCCAGCAGCTGTGTGGTCACATTCATTTAAAATGTAACACACTTCACTGTCGTGCAGGTCCCCAGCCATAGTCCTAGAACTGCAATGAGGTGATAAAAGGAACATTGTAACTGCTATACTAACAAGTGTGGTGACCACCTCCCCCTGATCCGATTCTGCACGGTGCACCCCACTACGATCACCAACCCCCCGACTCACCATGACGATCTCCATTCAACCCCAGCACAACACGAGCCCCAACTTCCACAACACAGCCTAGCCCCGCCCCTTACGTCATCACCAGTCCTGCCGCTCCACCCAAACTGACAGCCCGTGCTCTACCTCACTGATTGGAGGGAACTAGTGACGTCACCTTGCCGCCTAGTTCTATTCAGCCAGTTACAGGAATATCCGTTACTCGCGGGGTGGGGCGACGCTTTACGGTCCCTATAGCGACTAGACTTTCGACCAACTTTATTGACAAACAAGAAAAGTTTACAATAAAAAAAGCATAGCTGATTGTTGCTAGCTGGTCATCAGAAAAGTGCTTCTGCTTTTGAGTGACCCACATATGATTTGTTTTTTATTCCCAAAGAGAATGAAGAGTCATATTCTACCCACCTACGTTACTTTAAAAAAATACTGCAAACTTTTATTTAGGAGAAAATGAGGAAGCGTAAGAACCAGCATAAATCAGGTTCTTTTGCTGCTGTTGTCCCCACTGGGGAGACTGTAGCTCACTTCCTGTCACGGGTGTCACCAGTAACAGAGAAAGTGAAGTAAAGAAACCTGTTCAAGAGTCGCAGACAGCATATATTCAGAATTCTGTGTTATCTCAGAAGACTGACATCTCAGAATTTGGGATAATATATCAGAATTATTAATGTTTCTTTTTTTCCCCCTTGACCTCAGTATTCATTAAAAAGTTGCAATGTGCTTTCAACACACTGTAATTCATGTTAAAAAAGTTGGTTGCAGCTAGGGTTGCCACCTTTTCTTCAAGTGAAACCCGAACACTCAAGCGACGTGCAGACATTTTTTGGGGAGAATGAGTGGTGGCTTATTCATAGGTAAATAGCGCTGCCCATTTATATGTTAATATCACAGTTGAGACTATTTTCTTTGGGGGGCCAGTAGCCCCTGTCTTAATTTTGGTTGCCCCTGTCTGCCTGACATCTTGTGTCCGGGTTTCTGCTGCCTTGAAACCTGGACACAGCATTCAAAACCTGAACTACTGGGGAGACTGTAGCTCACTTCCTGTCACGGGTGTCACCAGTAACAGAGAAAGTGAAGTAAAGAAACCTGTTCAAGAGTCGCAGACAGCATATATTCAGAATTCTGTGTTATCTCAGAAGACTGACATCTCAGAATTTGGGATAATATATCAGAATTATTAATGTTTCTTTTTTTCCCCCTTGACCTCAGTATTCATTAAAAAGTTGCAATGTGCTTTCAACACACTGTAATTCATGTTAAAAAAGTTGGTTGCAGCTAGGGTTGCCACCTTTTCTTCAAGTGAAACCCGAACACTCAAGCGACGTGCAGACATTTTTTGGGGAGAATGAGTGGTGGCTTATTCATAGGTAAATAGCGCTGCCCATTTATATGTTAATATCACAGTTGAGACTATTTTCTTTGGGGGGCCAGTAGCCCCTGTCTTAATTTTGGTTGCCCCTGTCTGCCTGACATCTTGTGTCCGGGTTTCTGCTGCCTTGAAACCTGGACACAGCATTCAAAACCTGAACTGTCCGGGTGAATCCTGGACAGGTGGCAACCCTAGTTGCAGCACATTGCACGAAAGGCCTCATTCACCCCAGGCGTTTATGTGTGGTTGCAGAGTCCTGCTGCAAGGATGCAGATGCAGGAATCACAGGTGGATCTGGACAGCTGAAGCCATTCAAGCTGATTGCGTACAGGGTCATCACATACAAGTTTTGTGTGAATGAGGCCTAAAATGTTGTACTGGATTGTAGAGTATCGATAACGCAAGCAGCTCCTATCCCAGGGGGCACCAGTCATCAGCGCAGGAGGTAAAGGGGAATCTCCCTGATGGGGATGCAGACAGCATTAAACCCTTGATAGAGGATCTAACCCTTCCCCATTCTGTTCAAACCCAAAAAAAGGTTTGGGGTCAACGTCTTCTTTAACCATTTCAGGGCCACAGTAAATGGATAGAGTCGCCTGATCACTTGTATGGAGCTTCAGAAATTGCCCCTCCTCCACCAGCAACTATGCCAGGCTCCGCTGCCTCCCGCGTGGGCCTGATACCATCGCAGTGGGTGTAAGTGGCTGGATTGGAGGGAGGTCAGCACACTTCCAGTGGCTGATCTCCCCTCCACAACAATGATTTTGTCACTTCTGGTTTCAGGCTACTATTTCACCGGCTGCTGTGGCCAGAGAAGAAGCTGGTGAAGGTCCAGGTAGAGGTTGTGGTAGGTGGCAAACAAGAGAATAGTCAGGTGCAGGCAGAAGGTCATGGCGGGGGGCAGACAAGAGAGTAGTCTGGTCCAGGCAGAAGTTGTGGCAGAGGGCAGGCAAGACAGTAGTCATGGGCAGGCAAGAGAGTAGCCAGGTTCAGGCGGAGGTTGCGGCAGGCTGCAGGCAAGAGAGTAGTCTGGTCCAAGCAGAGGTCGTGGCAGGGAGCAGGCAAGAGAGTAGTCAGGGCCAGGCAAAGGTCGTGGCAGGGGCAGGCAAGAGAGTAGTCTGGTCCAAGCAGAGGTTGTGGCAGGGGGCAGGCAAGAGAGTAGTCAGGTCCAAGCAAAGGTTGTGGCAGGGAGCAGGCAAGAGAGTAGTCAGGGCCAGGCAAAGGTCGTGGCAGGGGCAGGCAAGAGAGTAGTCAGGTCCAAGCAGGGGGCAGGCAAGAGAGTAGTCAGGTCCAGACAGAGAGCAGGAAAGAGAGTAGTTAGGTCCAGGCAGAGGTTGTGGCAGGGGGCAGGAAAGAGAGTAGTTAGGTCCAGGCAGAGGTTGTGACAGGGGGCAGGCAAGAGAGTAGTCAGGCCGAGGCAGAGGTCATGGCAGGGGGCAGGGAAGTGTAGTCAGGTCCAAGCAAAGGTCGTGGCAGGGGGCAGGCAAGAAAGTAGTCAGGTCCAGGCAGAGTTTGTGGCAGGGGGCAGGCAAGAGAGTAGTCAGGACCAGGCAGAAGTCATGGCAAGTCAGCAACAGGCAGGCAAGGAGAAGAGTACTGAGATCTATCCACTTTGGCAGCAGGCAGGGCATGGCCAGCCAATAGGCTGTGAGATGGCATGCACATGGTTGTGACACAAGGCAGATGAGCAGGACAGGCCATGCCCCTGGCTGTGCATTCAGAGACAGGGATAAAGGAACAAAGGGGTATGGTTATATAGGAGGGACATTCCCTTTAAAATAAGTGAAAGTTGGGACCTACACACCACTGGGTATTCAAAATGATCACAGTTCCAACCTATTGACTAACATACACATTGCTAGACGAGCAGCTTCTATTCCATTAGTAACTAACCCCCATTCTTGCAGATCACATGCAGTAAGTGCCAAGTCTATGGGCAGCTTCATACAGGAACGAGTTTTTCTTCTTCCACATATCACACAGACAGACAACACCGTCCGAACCCCCGGCACAGTATTGTTTACTAGGAGCAGCGCTGTAATTGGATCTCCCCCATAGAACGACAATTTGCGCTAAGCCCCGCCCCCGTCTCTGGTCGCAGCAAGGGACAACGCTGATTGGCTGCAGACATGTCTTCCGGACACACCCACTACTGGGAGAGGAGTTCCAGCACATGCTCGCTCCCCCCTCTGTGTGTCACAGTCCAGGCACAGCACTCCCGGGATCTAGCTACGGTCACCCGGCTGGCATGGGGAAAGAAGCACTGTTAGCCCTGCTGGTGACATCTCTGACTGTGCAGCGCTGCCTGACCTTCTCCCAGGCTGTGGATGGCGACTTCACCTTCACCCTGCCTGCTGGCCAGAGGGAGTGCTTCTTCCAGCCTATGAAGAAGGATGCTACGCTGGAAATAGAGTACCAGGTAACCGCAGCTGGCTCCAGTGGTTGCCTTTTGGGCAGATCGCAGTGATTTTTCGGTAGTCTAGGGTCACCCATACACTACATCCTTATCAGTATCACAGTATGTGCACAGTGACACAGCTAAAGACTACAAGACCTGTGCAGAGTATTGTTATTGTTGGAGTTTAGGTGAGATCTGAATCTCATGGTGTGTAGGACTGTACAATCGGTGATGATGAAGTTGTGGGCACTGTCAGTGCAGGGTGAGAGGTGTCCCCATGTAGGTATAGTTCTGTTAGCTCTGATGACTCATGTTTCCTGGTCGGGCAGACTTTCTGATCTGGTTAAACAACTCATATTTCAGAAAAAGTTTGTGGCTGACCAATGAGGTGCTGCAACATCATGGTTACATGACACCGGAAGAAGCTGAATTCCTGCCATCAGATGGCATTTGATTTCTGTAGAGCCAACAGAAGGACTGTAAGGATCACACTGGGACCTTATGGCTGAATGCTGATCTTTACTCCCCTGCCATATGTTCTTTGCTGTGTTTATATGGTGTAAACACATTACAGAATGCTTAAAGCAGACCTTCACCCTAAAATTACAGTGTGCTGCAATGTAACCCACCTCTCTTCCCTTTTTAAAGTACAACTGAAGCCAAAACATGGCGGCCCCATCCTGCCCCGATTTATCGCAAGGGTAAATCAGCAGTAATTAACAGAAAAGCACCTGGACGGATTGCGGTAATCAACCACGCGTATTTGCGTCTGCGCAGTGTAAATCGTACGGGAACGCCACCAACCTTGCCAAAGTCATACAATCGACCAAAGTTTTCAAACCTGCTGGAAAGACAAAAGTCGTACGATTGTACAGTATTTGCGGTTGTACACTGCCCATCAACCTTATGAATTTCAGACGAAAACCCATTTGCTTACGAAAATTGGCTGATATTCGTAAGGTGTATGGGCAGCTTTAGAGAGAGTTATAACCCGTCAGCTTTTTTGCCAGCAGTGTCATCAGAACTAGTGTCCCCATTGGAAGATTTCCCATCTACTTCTTGTTTTGGTGACAACTGAAAATTTGGGATTTTCTTTCATTGGTTAATGACCACCAAAGACAAATAGAAAGAGAGAGAGAGAAGATTTCCCTAATGGAGACACAGGCAGCAATACAAACCTGACAGGTCTTCTAATCCCTCTCCACTCTCTCCAAAACTAGAAAAAGTTTCAGCTTCAGTTGCTATAACTTTAATAAAACATTTTTGTATTTACCTTTTTATTCGTGGCCCCATTTCTGGTGTTTCGGCAGCTGAAGAACCAGTAAGAGAAAGCCGGCTCCGAGTGATGGCAACAAGCGGGTTTGGCGGCGAAGGACAGGACCTGCAGGATAACATAACGCTGGATCTGTTGGGTTTGTAGGCATGTGATTGCAGCATAGGAAGAGCAGCAAAGATAAGGGGGGTCATTTGGGAGGGTGAAGATCCTATGTGAAGTAGTATTAACCCCTTCATGACTGAGGCCCTTTTTTCCATTTTTGCACCCATGTTATATTCCACATTTTAGGCGTGAAAATGACGTAAAACCCCCCAACATTATCAATAAACCCTTCTTAGAAAACATTTTCAATTACAATGTCTTTATTAAGGTGCCCATACACTGCATGGTTCTCGTACGAGAATCGCGGGAAATCCCGCAATCGTACGAGAATCGTGCAGTGTGAATGAAGATGTGCGACCGTTGTCTAAGGAGCGCGCTAGAAAACCAGCCGAAAATCGATTTATCGCACGGTAATTCCCGCGATATTGCGGCAATTTACCGCGCGATATCGCTCTCCAATGCTTCTCAATGGGGCAAAGGGTCCTGCTGTCTCGGGTAGTGTGTCACTACAGCAGGACCCTTTTTGGAGCGGATCAAGCTTGCTCAATGCAAGCATTTGCGCGATATCGCGCAAAATGCTAGTCGCCCGACAATCGCGCGATTTGCGAACCGCTCAATGTGAACGGGGCCTTAGGGTAACGGGAGGACACAAACTAGCGTCCTCCCGTCACCCTAGGCTCAGTATACCGCGAGCTGTAGCTCGTGGTATACTGAGATGCTGAAGCGGATCTCGACAATTGTGCCAGGATCCGCCCAGCTGCGTGACTGGCCGGCGGAGGGGGGAATCCAGCCCCTCTCCTGTCACGGCAGAGAGCCGTGACAGGATCGAGAAGTGAGCGAACGCCTGTATGTGTTCGCTCACCTCCCGATCTACTGAGCCGACCTGTGACAGTCTCATTGTCACAGGTCGGCTAGAACTATGAGGTGAGTGAAAATCACTCACCTCATAGTTCTCCTTTAATTAGAAAAGGACTGCGGGCAAATAAAATGTTAACCTTTGCAGTCAGGCTACACCCACACGACAAGGGTTAAATGCTCGTTATGTCTAGGGAGCTAAAATAACAGGTATACTCACTCAAACCGCGATCTCGGCTGGCTCCTAGACCAGTCCCTTCCACCTATCTGCTTCCCCACACCAACAATGGACTGTGCCTTGGCGTCCTGTACACTAGAGCTGAACCGACTCTGGCTACAAATCCTATGGACATAAAAACGTTGCAGCTGGGGCTCCCAGGGTCCTCGAATACTGGCCCGTTTTACACTGTATACCTATATGTCTGTATCTGCGCTGGACTCTAGGCTGGTCTGCCACTTAAAAGAATAAAGGGTTTTATTTCTGGAGCTGCACCTTTCATTTCCTGTTGATGTAGAAAAACCACTCCTGTCCTTGCTTTGGACCCCTTCACACAGTAACATGGCAAGGTCACCCTGTACTTCCCTCGTTCCTCTGTTTACATTGTCATGGCCGTGTTTGTCCATTTTGAAATAACAGGGATTGCCATTATACTGTGATTTGATAGTTCCTAATCTTTCACCGGTGGCATTGCTACAGATGTCTGGCACTGTTGTCTGTCAGTAGTTATAGAAGGGGTGGGGGTTCAATGACGGTTCTAGGTCTTATGGGATCGTCAGGTAAACTTTTGTACTTAAAGTATTAAAATCGATATTGTAAAAAGATATATAT